TTTAAATTTTTTTTTTTTTTAATTAAAAAATTTTCAAAATCAAATTTCTAAAGATCTAAAGCCTTTGAATACTTGAAAATTTCACCACAAAAAGAAGAGCTCTCAAGCTTTAAAATGGTTTTTGAAAAATTCAATTCGGACGCTTAGGTGAGCCGTGGTGATTGTTTAAACATTTTAGCAATTTTCAGGCTTATAAAAAATTGCAATAATTTAATGTTTTTTTCAATCGATTTTGAAGAAGTATTACACCCATTGCCAAGGGCAAATGTGTAGAAATGCTTACAAAACAGTGAAAGCAGACGAGTTCAAAATCGATTTTGAAGAAGAATGTCAGAAGAAAGTGCAAGAGAACTCGACAATCAGAAATTTTCGAATTTTTCGAATTTCTGAAACTGAATAGTCATTTTGCTTCAAAAATAAATTTTTATGGAAACCCAAAACATAATATAGAGAACAATACTCTTATTAGCGCCCCCATGATTAAAATAAAATAAAGTACAAAAGTTTTTGCAAGACTACGCAGTATATTTTGGAATTTGACAAAAATATAGGCACCAATCAAAAACTAGAACGTGGAAGACAAGATACTTAATCGAATTTCTTTCCGCAAAATATCATAGTTTACAAATACGAGAGCGACTACTAGTCTGAAAGAAAAACCTCCGTTGCGTAAATGTAAACCAGCGAAAATTGAACAGAATTCAGAAATAACCAGCATGTGTATTTATGAATTATGCATTGCTTCCACTAGCGGGTGTTCCCAAAATATTCGCTTAATAATATCGGGATATCTTTGGAACCGCCTCTACTCTGAAATTTGATGCAGAGCAGAATTTGGCAGCGGTCGGTATGCTTTCCAGTGACAATTTTAAAGAATAACCCAGAGATTTCCTACAGACATTTGTTTAAGAAAGTTAGTATATGCTATTTTGGGTGTACACTGTAAACATTGTTTTTTGTTAAGAAACCTCTTAATTAGCTTTTAAGGACCTGTGAATATTTTGTGATATGAAATGGAAATGATAATCATAATTTTTAATATCATAGATATTTACTCATCCCTCTTCCAATTTGAAGCTCCACAAAGATCAAAATAGAATGAAAGTATTCTATTTGATAAATTTTGTTAATGGAAGTGAATCTGCAATTTTTTATATTTCCTCAGCTCATGGAATTTACTAAATAACCTCTGTACTGTTTTTCTAGAATTTACAGGGTTTAATAAAAAAAATCCCAAGTCCAGATTATACCTTGTACTCTGATGAAAACTTAAAAAAATATACTACTTTTTCGTATTCTGGTTGCTTAGAGAACTTGGTATAACTACCTTTTATGGCAGCCAATCCAGTACAATATGTAGAATTTAGTTTGAATATCTACGTGAGTGTGGGAAATATAAGATAGTAGATTTTTCTTTTTGAAATGTTGTCATCTTATATTTCGAAGGGGAAACATTTTTAGAAAAACATTCAAATGAAAAATCTATTTATTTTGAACTATTATTAACTATCTAGTCCGACATTAAATCTAACTTGTAGATATTATTATAGACAGTACATTCGACAATTTGAAGCCTTTTATTTTTTTAATTTAATTTGTCTTATTCTTCCAAATTTGTCAAAAACAAACAATACATTTTTAAAAGAAAACATACTATGTAAAATCCAATCAGCCAACCACTCAGCGATCGCATTATCTCCAGCGTATGCGTAACGGTTTGTCATTATTCATTATAAACGAATCATTATTATTGGTGACACCAAGATTTAGGATTGTCTAAGCTCAGTAGTTACATGGCTTGCAAACATTTATGAAGGCACTGTACCACTGATAATGGGTATAGTGGAATATGTACAAGGTAAAAAATAATTAAATAATCTGTCAAAGATTTGAAAAAATTGTTTGCAATAAAATACAATGATCTTATTTACTCATGTACAAGAAACACAAATAGTTCATATAAAAAAATATATATTTATAGAAAGTGTACCACACATCTCTACATACCTACTGAGCTAAATCAAATGTGATTAAATGTGACTAAAGATACACGAAAAAATTATTTATTGAAACCCTAGTCAGACACAATAGGTAATTTGGCATGCTCATAAATTCGTCACTCGTAGAAATTAAAAAAGGGAAAGTCCACGATGAAAGGCTTTTTTAGACGTTGTGTCAATTACCTGGGCGTCCCGTCAGTCTATTTACTATCGTCGGAATTGTGTAGGAGAGTCATGCGCTCCGTTGACGTCAGTAAATATAGATTTGGCAGGATACTTGAAATAATTAAATATTTATTACTGAAAGTATGAATACTGGATATAAAAATATTTCAGTTATAAATCCTTGAGAACTTTGGCTAGTCTGTCTGCACTTCCAAAATTTTTCAAGCGTTTATCATTACAATCTTTCAGCATAAAATTGTAAATTTTCAATCTGTTTTTATTAGGTGTTGTAAAAATAAAAGGTGATAAATGTTCTATTTTTAGATGTTTTTTCTATTTTAAATACTTGGGTCTAATATTACACGTAGCATCTTACAAATTTAAAAGTCGTTTCCTGCATTACAATTTTTTTTAAATATGTAATCTTGGTGTAGCTAGTCTCCCTCGTCATTGTATTCATATCTGAAGATAAATTTAGAGGTACTTATTAAATTGTTCTTTTAACAACAGATGTAGGGAAATTAGTAAATATTCCAATATGTTCTTACGTATTATACTCATTTGGAAAAAACATTATCTCGAGTAAAGAAGATCATATACATAGAAGCGATTGAGTCGTAATTAGGTGCACAATATTTTTCTTCATCGGATCAAGTAGAGATTCGAGAAACTGAAACACCTGATTTTTGTTAAACTTTTCTTGATGCATTCTGTTGTGTGTTGCTTTCTTGTCGTGTCTCTGTTCTTGTAAAAAAATCTTTGTTATGTAACATTTTAGTATCGACTTTATTGATTATCTACTCGGTTAATTGATTTGTTTTGATCAGAAAAAACTGTGGTTAAATATTTTGCAACTAATTATGATTCACCTTGTACGAATTGGTTGATCTGTTCATTTAAGGGTTGCTGGAATCAAAGCAACCGATTATATATATCACGTTGTTTTGACAATTGGCAGAATTTAGAGGCAAAAAAAGCAAATTTGACGTTAAAATACCAACGAACAGCCTCTAAGTTCAAGTTTTTAGTCTGTTCGACGGCTGCTAGTTCCTACCGCGAAGTAAAACCTTACTCAATTTCAGTTCGTTGGTAGGTTGGTAAAGATCGTCTGTTCATTGATATTTAGCTTTAGAGGTTATATTTTCCAAAAACTATTTCTTTCGTTAATACCCAAAATCAAGAAAAAAATTCACAAAAAATGTAAATCTGGAGTTTGTGGTAGATAACATCGGTGAACAAACCTATTATTCCTTATATCGAATTTCAGTGATTTTTATAATCTACTCGTACAGTAAATTGCGAAATGTAAATGAGCAAAATCAGATTATCTGCTCTGATACAAAAAACAGTATTTTTGTGATTTCACTGCTGAGATCAGAATGAACAGACCTAATTTGTTGCACCGCAAAATCTTCTAACAGTAAAATAATGTGAAATATTGCATATATTTCACATTATTTGTGGGGATAATTTTTAGGCAAATTCTTTTATTCTTACTTTTCGCCTGCTTTGTTGGTGCAGATTTAAACATAACAACATGTGTAGGATCTCCTTTCTTTTTAAATAATACTAGTCAAAAAAAAACTCCTTTAGAAGCTAATGGTGAGTTCATACAACGTCTTGGTCCTAACTTAGTCCTAATTTAGTTTTAGTCTTTCTTCAAAGAAGTCAAAGGTACAGGTTTTAATGTACTGGTTTATAAAAATCCTAATATAGTCCTTGTCTTATTTTCACTTTTTAGGATGCAAATATGCATGCATAAAAATCTGACAGTGGATTGCCAATTCTTAAAAATACGTTAATAATTAAAACCAAATTTTTATAAACCAAGTAAAAATATTAGGTTTTAGACTAAGACTATGGATTAAGATAAGGATATAATTACGGCTAAGTTAGGACTGAGATATTCTTATAATAAACTCACCATAATACATAACAGAAGCCCAATTTTTTCAAACCTGTGAGACCTTTGATATTCTACAATGGTGCTTTGTAATTAATTCATAATGTAATTTAGTAATTCTATATTTCTCATTGTATTCGAGATTTCAAACTATAAGTAGGTATATCATTTGCCCAATCTTTTTTTTAAGATAAAATGATAAAATGTATTATTTTATTATTGTTGAAGTAATTATTTTAGATTTTCAAATAGGATTATTGAATACTCCCAAGCAGTGACGATTGAATAATTATTTATTTAAAAAAATATTCTAAAATATTGTATAATAAAAATGATGGATAAAATATAGAACTGGAAATTTATTTTCATTATACTTAAAACAATTCCTTTAAAAATCACAATATTTCTAGATTATATCAAAAAGCGTTAAATATTGTATTTCAGTTTACTTATTTTGTTTCAGAAAGCGTGATTTGAATTTCAAATTAATCATAAGTGCTTTAAAAAACGTCAATTGTATTCCAAATGGCCTTTAATTAAAAAAGTATTTTGTAATATATTAATTATTCCTTCAACGCTCTTCAGATAAAAATCAAGTAAATTACGTATTAAAAATGCTATCAACAAACGTTAAAATCAGTTTCATTATTCCATTATTACGGCTTCATAAAATACAGTTAATAACGTCGCACAGTAATAAATAAATTAATATCGAGCTAGAAATAATTTTTCTGAAAACCAAATTACACTTTCTGAAAATAAATATAATTGAACCGGACTAACAAATTTCGAAATTTTATAACAGCTTGAGCAGTTGCTTGCCTGGTTAAATTTAATTAACAAATATGAAACTTGAAATGACGCTTTGTACCTACAGGTATAATACATAAATTATCTTCAACGTGTTCCAATTATTATTTTTTTTATTGCAGGTGCTCTTGCTTATGCAGAACTGGGCACGATGAATACATCATCAGGGGCTGAATACGCTTATTTTATGGACGCTTTTGGTGCCCCTCCGGCATTTCTGTTTTCCTGGGCCAGCACGTTGGTGCTGAAACCATCCCAAATGGCTATCATTTGCCTAAGTTTTGGAAAATATGCCGTGGAAGCGTTTGTTACCGAATGTGAACCGTCAGATATCGTCGTTAAAATGGTAGCTCTGTTGGCAATGGGTAAGTAATTTCGTTTTTTTTTTCACAGAACATGAACATGAGTAGAGTGAACATAGATTGTATAAATTTACATTTTTTTCTTCTGTCATATAAAATAGTAAACAATCATAGTTGCCAAATATCAACTTCAATAAGTTAATTTATTTTTTTCGTGTCAAAAATGACAGCTTTTAAAATTATTTTTAATTATAAAAGTGAATGTTTATTTTTAACTTTATGGCACATTATCTTGACGTAAAATCGTAAAACTAGTCTGCTTCGTGTATTAACATTTTAGTAGAACAATATCGATTTATAATTTGTACACATTATAGTAAAAATTTCATTGAATTCTTTGAGAGAAGTTTTAAGACTTTTCACTTTTCAAAAAAATCTGCTAACGTAATATAATTTCAAATACCATCCATTTAATCTTCATAAATAATGAAGATTAAATTAATTAATTAAGATTACCTCAAAAATACGCCACTAAATTCTTTGTACTGAATTTTGAATCAGCCTGTTTATCATTGGTTTTATAAGGTAGATGTTCATATTGCTTTTTTATTTTCTTTTTGGCAACAAATCTAGCGTAGCTTTCTTCATAGCATTCCTTATTTCAGATGAGATACCAAATATATCTTTACTGTACATTTTAGAATGCGCACAAATTGTTTTTGCATTACACCAAGAAAAATTTTAATAGTCCCTATGAATTTAAGTTTGTAAGTAAAAAATTAATCCGTATTTGTGAGTAGTCCACCGATCACTTTATAGGTCAAAGCACATGAGTAAAAGTATTACAAAGATATTGCAAGAAGTCCTTATATCTCACAACTCTGTTTATTATTTCGACTAGTTTTGTAACTACGAAACCAATAGTCACATAAGAAAGGGAATTGCGAGATATAAGAACTTTTTATCAGGTTTCTAAAATTTAAGAAATATAAACGCAGTTATTATTGTAGTAAATATGATTAAACCAATTTAATTAAACAGTGACAGGATATCAATTCCTGAAATGTACTTATAGATACTCTTCTAACACAAAAAAAGTCATGCCCATAATACTACATAAGATACACAAATTAAACACTTGCTCACATGGAACTCATAAAATATAACACGTTTTGCTAATGAAGTACACCAACAATAAGGATTAAATATTGCTGTATTATTTTTCCTCAGTCATTAGGAATAACCTGGAAAAATAAATGACTTGTGAATGTCTGTTAAAATAATATTTGCTATCCCATTCATTCAGAATGTTTTTGTCTCGGTGTAGACACTTGCTACATATTTTCACTTTACATCAGAATTAGAGACAACCGAAATGTTAAAAGTATAACAAATAGAACTTAAAAAAATAAATGTTGAATATACAATTTATAACAATGTATTTTACATACAAGATATGTTCAGAAAATAACCCACCTTTATTATTTATTAATTTTATACATTATTGGTCCCTGTCTCCTCCAAAGTACTTCGCTCTCCTATTCACATACTTTTGCCATTGGTGTTTCCGTTTCGCAAAGCAGTCATGGATAGTTGGTTGAATAATTTCCGGTTTGGTTGCAACGTCGTCGATGTACAACTCTTGACGTTTTGAGAGACATATCGCTCTCTTCTTCAGAAGTCACTCTGAAACGGGAGATCTGCTAATTTTGTACTACACCTACAACAACTATTTATATATATTTGATGTGGTCACTGATCCATGACGTTCCGGTGGGTGACCTCGTACGCGTTGTTGACGTTCCAGTGGGTCGCTTTCAGGGATGGCTTTCTTTCATATACCTGGCAGATCCACGCCACCGTCTCTGTTGAAATTGTTTGGATTTTGCTAATATTTCTCTGTATAGTCCGGGCCAAAATCTTCTCTCTCTCACCACCATATTGGCTTCACACAGATCTACTGTGTAAATTGTTATTTTTGAGGTGACTTTTGTGTTCCTTTAACCTCGTGTTGATGTGCCTTCCTGTTTGTCCATTGTAGACCTTTCCGCAAGAGCAAGGAATACTGTACACACCGGAGCCCTTGAGCTGGTCGTTGTTGCAGGTCTTTGGAAACGCTGCCGCCACCTTCTTTACAGTGCTGAATACTGAGTTGATATTCCTCTTCTTCAAAAGACGTCCGACTTTATCTGTACAACCTTTTACGTAAGGTAGGTACGTCGTCGCTAAATACTCCCGTTCTTCCATGGGCGTATATCCTGATAGCTCATTCGATATTTCTCGCCTTGTAGCCATTCCCTCTCAGGGCCATGCGTAGGTCTTCTAGTTCCTCGGCCAAGTGTCTTGGCTCGCTGATGATCCGCGCTCGATGAATCAAGGTATTTATGATCCCCTGTTTCTGGGCTGGGTGGTGATGGGACTCCGCATTCAGATATATGTCTGTGTGAGTTGGCTTCCTATATACTTGATGTCCTAAAGTGCCATCTGGTTTCCTCTCAACCAAAACACCCAAGAAGGGAAGGGCGGCATTTTTCTCTACTTTCATGGTAAACTGGATATCGGGATGTATCCCATTGATCAATCTGATCTAGGAAATCTGCTACGATGTTGCGTCCGTGAAGGTGTCGTCAACATATCGGTACCGGCACTTACGCTTCAACGTTGTGGATTCCAGGGCTTTCTTCTCAAAGGCTTCCATGTACATACTATCTACCACGTATCCCATTTTAATCGAAACACGTGAATATCTCGTCAGTGAAGCCTCCGATCCAAAAATAACCTAAAAGTTGCTCAGTTCATTGAGTGAAAGCGGTTGTTGACATATATTGGTCAGGTCTGGAGATAATGGGAAACCCATTGCTGCTCCCTCCGTCTGTTGGTAGAATTGGCCCCGGAATGTAAAGAATTGCGATTTTATGCACACTTGACAAATCCATTCGACTCGCATCTTTGTCCTCTGCGATTAGTCTTCGATGCAGTTCCTCCAGGGCATTGTCGACGGGTACTTTCGTAAATAAGGATGTAACATCGAAGCTCACCATGGTATCTTCTAGTTGGAGTTCAATTCCTCGAATCTTGTCGATAAATTCTCCATTGATAGCTTCATTTGAAATGGCTTTTAAAGTATGTGACGAATTTCATTTCATGTCGTCAATACTCTACTGATTTTAATTCGGAAATAAAAAAAATTGCAAGGACCAGATCTGGCAAGTAAAGAGGGTGAGGGGGACAGTAATCTGATGTTTGGCACAAAACTGATGAATTGACAAAGCTGAGTGTGCGGGCGCATTGTCGTGGTGCAGGAACCTTGAGTTGTCTCGCCAAAACTCTGGTCTCTTTTTTCACGTAACCGTCGTAAAACGCCATGATAGTACATGCGGTTCACTGTTTCACCTTGAGGCAAGAATTCAAAATTCACAATTCCATTAAAGTCGAAAAAAACAGTGGGCATCACTTTGATATCGGATCGAGACTGATGAGCTTTCTTGGGGCGTGGAGATCCTTTGACAGTCCATTGTGATGATTGCACTTTTGTCTCAGTGTCGTATTTGCAACCCCAGCTTTCGCCTCCCGTTATGATCCTTTGATTGAATGTTTCGTCGTCACTGGATTCAGTAAACATAGAAATAGTGCGTAATTAAAAAAATTCGATTATTTTCTGAACAGACCTCGTATATGTGTAGAATTGTATAAAAACCATAACATGTAATAAAGTTTAAAAATAAATAATTTTAGTTGGCTTTAATTTCCAGTTGTATTTGCTAAATTATGATGTAGGTATAATAAAAAATAATTTATGATACATATATCATACAACATATAATTATTTGAATTTACAGATTCACAGACTATCATTCGTTTCTTTTTACTACTATCGAAAATATGTCCATTAAACTAGAAAATAAATTTTTTCTTTGCTTTTAAATAACACAACTTTAGTGAACGGTCAGCATACTTTGTAATTTTATGGATCTATACTTTACAGAATCCTAAAAGGATGTTATAGAGGTCCTTCCAGTTTTAAGGTCCTATAACAGCTGAGCCAGCTAAGCTAAAGATGTTATTTTATTATCATTTTACATCTCGGATATAAAACAATTCCGTATAGAAATTTTCAAAACTGCATTAAAAGTAATGTTCCAGAGAATTAATCTATTGATTCCATTTCTGGTAGCACTTTGTTATAAAATAATAATGTACTGAAATCAATAAGTTAGTAACTGGTTTAACAAATATTTAAAAGTTGTTTGTTAAGAATGGAATGGAAGAGGCATAGGTGGTATAACGAATAAATTTATTTCGCAATGTGAATATAATCAGTTTTTTTTAAATATAACCTTAAATATTTTTCTCTAAATAGTGCCCAGTATAAACGAAAATATCTATATTAGAGCAAGTAAAGAAGTGTAAACTTGTTGTTTCTAATAGAACATTGTGTACACCTATTTCACCTGGAACTTACGTATGAGTGTTCATACATAACCATGACCTTACCACATTATTGATCAAGTTGTGAATGAGGGCTTATGGCTACTTAATCAATAATGAGTTATTTATTTTCATTTAAGTATCCACCTTAAACTAACTAGGTACCAATTTGGTACGTTTCTTTTTTTACATATTTGCTTCCAAATCATATGTCATAAAACTGGGCAACTTTGTAATAATATGATGTTTCATTGAGATACATTATAAAAAATTATTCGATGTATATCCAAAACTATTAAAAATAGAAAACTTGGTTCATCTGATTTTATTTATTTTTTTAAAATTGCCTTACGTCATGATTTATTAATTTATATGTTCACCATATTTTTTTATGGAATTTGAAACTTAAAAAAATTGCCTGTGTCAAGGTGACAGAAATACATATTCCTCAATATTTACCATTTTCAAGCACTGTAAATTTTAGGCTTAAAAAAATATTCCAAGACGTAGGACATCTTGTTTAATTCACAATGTTTCATTTCTGCTTTTCTGATGTAACTTTTTGTCCACCTGTTTTCACTTGGTTTTATTGCAGTGTTTATATAAATTTGTAAGACGTGATATCTGCTCATAAAATATATATGTAGACGTCAGAGGAGACAAAAATAGAACATTCCCCTAGTGAAAATACAAGAGATGACTGTATTTGTCAAATTTGTTTTATTTTTTCTTGAAAAATTATGTCAAATACTTTGGACGATATTTTTTTGCTATTAAATAGTTTTTGAGATGTAAAAACAACAATGGTCTATTACTTCAATTATGTGTTAACAATTTCCTTTTTAATGAATAGTTAAATTATATGGCGCTAGATTTGCCACAAATATTTATAAATAACTATTTAAAGATCTGTCAATAATATTACTGATTAGATTAGATTTATATCGCCAGGTTACTGAATATTTAAATTTAAAAAAAGAGGATATTTTAATCAAGAGTGATTAATGCGACTATTTTTAGGGTTCTAACTTTTTAAGCCGGAAGTTATGGAACCAATCAATACTAAAATAGGAACTTGGGTGGAAAGTTCTCATTAAGCTAGCTGCTACAAATTCCTTATTTTCTCAAGTTTTTCTTCCTTTTTATAATTATTTTTATCTCTGACATAAAAACGGTTTTGCTCCATAAAGTCATCATAATTATGAATACAATAGAGAGCACTAACCTTTCAAGTGTTGGTTTTTTATATAGATTTCTGTAAACAGTATTAAAACAATACATAACTAATTAAATATATTATAACTTCTAAAAAAATTTATGTTGAACGTAATGTAATTTTATTACTTTTTTAGACTTAAAATGGAGTAAATCAAATAATGTTGAAGCGTCATTAGTTTATATATTTTAAATACAGACAAATACTTTTGGTATGTAAACGTAAAATCTTGGATGAATTGTAAGGGGTTAATTACTACAACTACATCAACTAGTATCAAATATTTTCTACTTTATCTTATTGGCTGGAAAACGCGACTGATTTTAATTTCTTTTTCAGTTGTCATTTTATACGTGAACTGCTACAGTGTGAACCTTGCTACGAGCGTTCAAAATGTTTTCACAGCAGCGAAACTGGTAGCTGTATTAATTGTGATATTGGGAGGAATGTACAAGATTGTTGAAGGTGAGTCTTTGAATTTCAAAATTCTTTATATTTTTGACTACATCAGGTGAATTACTGCAAAAACATGTTTAGTTTTCATTAAATATTCTACTGCCTTCTTTTAATTGGTTTGTACATACAGAATAATGCACTAGCCTTACAACAATAAAAAAGTAGATGTACTTTCCATAAAAAATGTTAATGAACACAGGGCAGATAGTGACAGCGATTTTAAAAACCACATTTATAATAACCATAATTTATTAATAGACAATTAACGATACGAAATTCAAAATGATACCCTATTGTTCTTCGAGGTATATTGGATTTTCCTATATCATTAATAAATTCATATTGTTTCTGATATATATGTTGCAATATATTGGGTTCTTTGCAGTAATTGTTTGAATCAGTTATCTCAACTTCACATAGGATTTGTTTCTAGTAACCAGTGGCGGCTCGTGAAGGAGGACTCTGGGACTCCGCCCCCCCAGATATTTTCAAACTATAAACTTAAAATAATGTATTTATTTAAATCAATAAGAAATCTAAATAGCATGCATTCAATATCTCTTGGATGTTAGGTTGGTTGCATAAAGTACTGTGTACGTGAACGTAGCTCAGATTAATGCCATCTGCCATCTATAATCATACCAAAGAGTTATGTTTAACCGCGCGCGCAATCCCCACTCCATCGCGGACCGTGAAATTTGAGTCCATCGTGCAAGCATATTTTTACATATGATTGGACAAATTGGCACGTGGAGGGGATAGGTGACGATAGGCTTGCGCGCTCGCGCGCTTTGTTGTTATATGTGTTTTGTTTTTGCTTTGGCGCTTTTTAAGACATTATATTTTATAAGTTTAAGTTTAAAATGATGGTTTGTGAAATAAAAAAACTTGTTATTAGTAATTTAAGTTTAGAGGAAAAAGTCGAATTGAAAAATAACGGACGTCCAACGCCAGTGTTGAATTTAGTTGAGGTGCAGAAAGAGTGCAAAAAGTGGGCCGGCTTTCGCAAATTTGATAAAAACATTTATGATAAGACCCTGTGGTTGTGTGGTTGTGACCAAACAAATAGATTTTTTTGTTTTGTAAGTTTATTGTTTGGAGAAGGCGAAGAAAACTGGACGAAAACTGGAGTTTCTGACTTGAAACATTTAGAAATTAAAATTAAGAAACATGAAAATTCTCATAAACACAAAAATACGTTGGTGAGTTTTTTACTTTTAGGAAGAGTAAATATTGCTTCTTGTTTAAATAGTGCTTATGCAGAACAAATAAATAGTAAATAGTCATAACGAAACAGTTAAGAAAAATCGATTGCTTCTTTCAAAAATTTTAAAATATCTTAAAACCATGTGGTACATGTAACCTTTCTCTTCGTGGACATAATAAAAAAAGTGACTCGGTAAACAAAGGGGTATTTTTAGAACTGATAGACTATAGTGCAAAAATTGATCCCGTTTTAGATAAACATCTTAGTGATGCCCATGTTTTTAAAGGAACTTCAAAAACTATACAGAATGAACTATTACAGTAATCTACATAATTATATTCTAACTGGGTTGGTTGATCGATTATCCACTTCAGCCCCCACACGTTGGAATTTTATTTCTCGCATTGTATCTAAGTAGCTACTGTACACACTGACAGTATTCCTTAAAATTTTTCGCCTGCGGCGCTAAGCCAAGGGCTACCACCCCCCACACCCCCCGCAGCTCTTATGATGTACGTCCTCTTTTCAAAATGCGCCCCCCTGCATTCAAACCCACGGGCCGCCACTGCTAGTAACCCAAAAGATAGAAGTCATAGGGTTTTAAATCCGGATATCTCGGTGACCATGTTATATTTTGTCTTAATGACACTGAATAACAAAATCCATATGATAGTAACTAATAATAACTTACTATTATTGTAAACAATTATTTATTATTGAAATATTTATTTATGTGCTAGTGTTACAATTCCTAATACGTTATAAGAGACGGTGCAAGATAAGGCAGATGGTTGCTATTACAGTCCGACATGTTTTGAATCTGCTATTTCATCACATATACAATACTCAGTATTAGAAATGTTTTGATTTTACGATTAAGTAAAAAGGACAGTAATGTAATGTTAAATAAACCGCTCGAAATATTTACGCCGAAACGTTACTGAAAATAGCGCCATCTAATGACATGTGAACTGTTCAAGAACCACATGTGATCATTGTAAAAATTATAAATCCCAATTCTGAAAAAAGTGGCTTCGTCAAACAGTAAACCATATAATTCTATTAAACATCTCCAAGTTACAATGCTTTTGCATTCTGTGCATGATAACGATACAACCTTGCGATTCTCGCTATAAATTTAATGATCTTATGTCCCTTGTTACACGTTTCGTGTCAATTAGGTGATTTTCCTTTACTGTTTTCTTCATTCTATGAATACTACCTCATAAGAATGAAGGGATTTTTAAATAGCAGTAGTTGCAACTGCGGAAAATGTGAAAAGAATAATATTTTGAACACTATATTCTTGTGGTGATTGACACCTGGAAATATCATATTTCATCATTCGGTATTTTCTAGATACTCAACGAATCAATGGTGCAAATACATTTTGAACTTTTATTGAAATTTTTCAGTTTTTATTTTATGACACTAATTGTTTGTTATAAATCATGGTTATTATAATTTTCTTCCTGAAAATTTTTATAAAGCTATATTTTCGAAACAAAAAATAATCAGACTTATGTTTATACAACATTTATTTTTTTCTAGAAATTATATCTATTATTGCCAGAGTTTGTAGTAGCCCCGTTTAACACGAAACTTGTAACATGTTACTTATAAAACTAGGAAATGTAAGAATATTCTTTTAAAGCAGATATTCATATAACTTCCAACTACAATTTTACTATTTCTATCACGATCTTACCAAGGCAAGTTTTCCAAGAAGTTGAAAACTATAATTTACCTGTAATATAAGGTTTTACACTCCACCTGTGCCTTGCATAACGTAGATGGTTGCCAATTATATTGATCGCAAATATTTCTCGTATAACTTCATGTGGATTTATAATTTTAAAAACGATGTTCTAATAAATAAAAGAAAGTGTTTTTTGAGTTGAAAATGCGTATCAAGATGAGAAAAATCCGAAAAATTAATTTAATGTTGATTATGTAAGTGAACATTTAGTTTACTCTATGTGAACCACTCACCATCAAATGTTCATTGGCATAAAGTCAATTACATATAGACTTTGATATTCTACTTAATATTTGAGACAGTAATATCCGGTTGTTCCGATTATCTTAAGATAATTATCTTAAGATAAGTTGCATGTTTATACAGCTTAAGGAAAAAAATTGAGAAAGTGACAAATTTTCTGTTCGTGATGAAAACAGATGGTGTCTTAAGGGTCGGAAACATTCCATTTTGGATGGTTCCGGGCATTACAATTCGTGGAAATATTGAATCAAGTGACGTTTTATCTTACAAATCGTTTCCAGAGTAATTTAGCTTTCCCGCATGACAAAATTTGTCATCTTCTGTTCTCACAACACAAATTCAATAAGTTGAAAGAATGTCATAATATACTGATTTGTATTCGCTAAAAACAACAGAGGATTCTGCTTTTACGATTGTGAAAATACAAAAGCTCTTTAGATGGCTTAATACTAGGCAATATATTTATTAATTATCATGCTACAAATTTGTCCTCATTAACAGTGCTAATTATTGCTTTTTTATACTTACGCCAAGTTATATTCCTTAACAAAGGATATACCTTAGTATTTCAAAATTCAAGATGCCTATAATAAATTAAAATTACCTGAATCACACCAAATTCCGTTTTGCTGCATTGCACTGCTAGGCCATTTGTCGACAACTAAATTTATGGCCAGATTGCCCAGTATGGCTGTGTTTGTGCCGCGTTTGCCCACGCGCTCATTCTTCACTAGGCGACCAGACCTGTATATGGGTATAACTAAATAAATATGGGAACAAGTTTTTCAAATATTTCAATGCCGAGTTGCTGCGTCAGCGATCGGACCTGGTACATACTGCCATTCTCTTGGTTCTTCAGTTGAGATCGGAAAGACTACCAGCAGTTAGCAATCTTGTCTGTGAGTTTGGATATCTTTTGCATACCTAGATTTCTGGTATCGAGGAATGTTGTTTGACCTCATTTGATGGGATTTCTTTGAATTAGCTAAATACATTAATAAAAAGTAAACATCTGAGAGGTAATAATAGAATATGTATTTATGATTGTTTGGTATCTTTAAATTGCCGTAAAATATCTGCATCTAGATTATACCAGATAGTATCTACATATTGCAGATTTTTTTAAATCAAATGTAAGATCATATATTAATGAGTACCTACTTTTTACTTCTGTGGAGCTAAATATAGACTCTGCCGGAATACCTGCATCATCTTCAAATTTAGTCCAAATTTATTTTCCTTTTTATCAGGTACTAAATTCTACGAACGAATCACACTAATATTTTTATAACATGAGATGCTACGTTCATTTCCATAATATCCAAATACCCTTAGAATTTACGGCTTCGTTAGCAGTTCTTTCAGACGCAGACCCCTTTACGTCCTTGAACGTCCTTGTGTCGAATATAAAAGTTTCCCTTGACGAACACTCCGAATCGATTATCTTTATCAAGCTCAAGAGGCGAACACTTATGCATGCAATTGTCCAGAAACCGTATACTAATTGCCGTGAGAGACGAATGACTTTAATTGAACATGTCCCTGCTGACGTAATAATTTTGCAATGAATTGCTAATCAGAAGAAACCATTCGTATGATCGTGATATTGACCCTATCCTCCGTCGCAGATCGCTGATTAATGATAAAAGTTGATTACGTTACAATGATTGCTTCGTAAAAGCTCTTTCAGTGCGAATAATTTTTGTATACTAATGGATTTAACATTTGTTTAATGCCATTAAAATTCCTAATTAATTTTACCTATTTATACCGGGTGTTTCGTAGTTAATTGTTTTAGAAATACTTCAGATTGGGAGTTATTTATTTAATTTTTAATTTTAATGTTATAAAATCAACAATAAAATCATCAAAATTTTTGTTGATTTTACAATATGTACTAAGATCCATATAGAAGCTTAAGAAACATATTCGGGATGTCACGCGTTGTCAGTGTTGTCACGTGACGCATAGACCTTATAATAAACTACTGGACTCGCCCAACTGTCATTTTACCTATATAAACGGCAATCGCTCAGACGTGTGCGAGAGAGATGGAGCTAGTAAGGGCATAAGCTTCGTTCACAGAATTTCGACTGCAACGCGCTACATTTAATTCAACCAATCAGCTAGCTATACTCGATTCGTTACCCTTTTTTTCTGTTGGGCCGTATTCAAAGACATTATAAAAATAATATAGACTAAAAGTCAAAAAAAAATGTTCATTTTTTCCAGTAGTGTAGGTATGTAAAAGGGTTTAGTATATTACTGTCCTAATTACAGTACAATATTTGAATTGTTTTAGCTATAATATTCCAAATAGTTTTTATAATGCCTTCTTTATAGTTTGTTTCAAATATTTCATATTTTCTTTCTATGCAGAACTGCATAAATTGAAACTATAGTAGGATCATATTCGATGCAAAGTAATAAATCATTGCCTGTCAAGGGAACCAATGAAGTACTCTTTTAAGGGTTTTACAAATTGAATAATTTCTTTATACATTATGAAGGGACGAGGGGATCAGTTCAGGTCTGGCACCCTTGTTCCTAAAAAAATTCCTTTATTCTCATAAATTATTTATTTTAAATGTAATTTATTATAAATCCAATTTGTTTCCTAAATTCCACATATGTACTCCATTTTACCTCTGTACGCGCCACTGTTGTTTACTTGTTTTTTGGAAGCGCTCTCTAATTGACGGCAAAGCTCGCCAGGTTAGTATTTGACGTATAACCGACCAGTTCGTACACTCGATGCACCTGGGCGACTACAGCTACTACCAGAACACAGTGCGTATGCAGCGGTATTTCAGATTTTACAATGAATTTCATTTTAAATTTGAAATGATTTATCTTACGCCTCCTAAAAATGATGACACGATTTTCCTTTGATAAAAGACCGACAACTTTTTGCTCTACTTTGCATGGAATACGATCCTACTATATGTCGATGCTTTCTTCGTTCAACATATTTGAAGAGAATTTTTGCTGGAGCACATTATAAGCACATTTCAGTTAAAACTTTTCCTTATATTCGGTTTGATGTTAAAATGACATTTTATTTTGAGGATTGGGGAAATAATTTAATCTAATTTGTTGTCATCAGAGACAACTCTATTTGGTCAGTCTTTTCAGAAAGATGCAAAAAGTATAAACATGTTAGTACCGTCATAACTTCTTTCCTACCTATGAAATTTAATTTTTTCTCCACTTAAACGTCTCTACGCAATTTATTTCAGAACACGATTGCACCATATTTAGTTTTTACAAATCTTTCACATACACTAACTAAATCACACAAAAATTCAATCAATAATGTCAATACATGACATTTACTTCAAAGTTTGTTTACAGCATTTTGTACCGGTATACCCGTGTATCATCATTTATGCTGCAAAGGCAGATATAGTGTAGCATGTTTATTAAAAATTGTCATACATTTAATAGCTATCACATTCATTTAATATTTATATACAGGGTAATTCAGTCATTAATTTTAAAAAAAGAGGTAGAGAGAGAGGGTGGGTAGAATACGAATACACGATTAAAAAAAAATTTAAATGCATATATTCACACTGAAAAAAATATTTTCTAATCATTATTTAAACTGCTTTTCAGACCGCTGCTGATCGCTGTCCCACAAAGGTTTATCGAGAGTGAATCTTGACCTATCGTATTATTCGGTCATTAACCTAGCTTTTTACAGCAGCCTAGTGAAAGATAAGGAAAATACACATCTTTTTACCTAAACACATGAATGAATAAGATATTTTTTTACATTTTAAATATTAACAAGTATTATGTAGGATTTGTTATTAAAAACAAATGTATAATGACAATAATTGTTTTCGAACATTATGTTATTACAATTTGGTATTTTTAATATTGTTTATTATTAACGTTTTCACTATGTTTTATAATTGAATATGAGTTTTTAGTATTATATTCAATTAATTATTTAGTTTGTAGTACATATATCTAGTGGCTGATTGCTTTTCAAATAGTATAGTATAGTACCTACCTACCTATTTAAAATGTCAGTACCACTAAAAAAACATAGCACTTTGTTAATAAAGTTGCACTATGATTTTGAAATCAATTGCAAAATTCAAGACGACTAGGGAAGTCAGCTGTTTCGCTTCAACGTTCAAACTTACTACTTCCCAGTCTAACACTACACACAACCAACAGGAATGGCGTTATTATTGGACATGAGAGTAGACAGTTCGCCAAAGATTTACAGCGAAATTTTAATTTAAATTTGTTTAGCAAGTAATAAACTTGAAGCAAAGTTAATAAATACACATACCATTGTGGATTTGGACTAATTTTTAATTTTTTTATAGCCTACAAGATGTTTTTGAAAATTTTCAAGTTGAATTGAATGTTCCAACATTTTTGTTCTTATTTTATTTTAGCGGATTTAAATGGACGTCCAGCGGAGGTATATTAGGAACTGTTGGATATACCCTGGATGTCTATAATATCCCTGGGACGTTCAAACCTAAAATGGACGCCCTGTGGATGGTGGGTGCTATAGATTGTAATTCGAGCCACCCTGTATATCTCTAATAATTTACAATATGCGTCAAGTCTACCCTTAAATAGTTTTATAACTTAGAATTGTAATAGAATACATACATAATTATCAGGGTATATTAAAAAATAACGACTGTATTCGCTAATGTCACCATTCTCATCATACCAATTGAAGAGTAAAATCTCGTATTTTATTTACCCAATTCGATCATTTTTCCGCTAATCGTGAAAACAATAAATTAATTCAAATTCAAAAGGAGCACTAAAAATTGATTACATCATTAACTTTGTTGCATATGTCCAAACTTCAAATTTTTGTTAGCAGTTTATTGATTCAATTACAAATATAAAAAATGTATCAAATATATTAACAAATTGTTAAAAGGTCAGTCTTTTATATTTCTTTATTCAAATTACAGGGAATACTCAGCATTTGAAAGAACCCTTTAAAAATACTCAATTTTCGGTAGGCAATATAGCGACAGCTTTCTATACTGGTTTGTGGGCCTATGATGGATGGAATAACTTGAACTACGTTACGGAAGAAATAAAAAATCCCTCCAAGTATGTATTAAATATTTCAATTTATAAGTAGTTATATTATTATAACTCTATAAGGCGTCCCTTTATCAAATTTCGGCAGATTGTTCCTTGGCCAAATTAAAAAAAAATCAAATTATACCAATTATTGAACTAATTCAACTAATTTAAGGAATATAAAAACGATCATTTTCGATGGATTATCTTCAAACTGTTATATCTTCGTAAACAAAAAGAATTGGCCCCAAGTTAGTAAATTTATGTGTTAACTTAAACCAACGAACACTCTGTAGAAGTTTGGTAGTCACATTAATAAGGGACAACCTGTAATTCAGTGTTTGTAGAGAATATATTCCAGAAAGGAAAAAATACACCTTTCGAAAGACCAAATTTTTAAAATTAACTGTTAAGTACATATAGTGTTTGACAAAAATATGGAACATTGGCAATGAAACAAATGCAAAAAATGCCAAGACATGTTAATCTTCATGTTTTTTGAGAACTATTATGCATTGTTAAATTTTATGTTCAACTGTTTTCAGCTACGACATGATCATTTTTTTAAACGGTAACATCCAATTTCTTCATCAGAATTCGACATAACTTGTTTGAGTGATTAACCTGTTACCTACCTATCATGTGATATTTCCCAGAAACCTTTTTTTTCTAAGAATAAAGTAGGTTGGTTCTGTTTCAAAAAAAAAGTCAATAGAAGGTATAACGTTATAACAAAACACTAGAAAATGAATTGACAATAATTATAAAACATGTTCAAATTGAACACCATTAGCTTATTCTTGGGAGTACATGAAATGTACATAATCATTCTGTTCAGGAGATAAAACTAAATGTCGTCCAACCTTAACCTTCATATTTTTAAGTTTAAAAAAATTACTATTACGTACAACTATCAAACCTTATGCATATAACTGGAATCCTAAAAACATTCTATCCAAATAATATAATAATATATATGGTGTCCTATGTCAAAGCATTATATCATTTTTTCCTATATAGAAAGATAGAAAAATATTATAATGGGTAAAAAAACATAGAAACAGGAAAAAATAGAGGAAATTCTAAAAAAAATTGGTGGCTGCTCAATAATGTTTGAAAAAAAACTGAGAGAAGTATTTCACATTCAGTATTCCTGCCTTTTGTTACACACTGACAGCACATTTTTTGATAGAAGTAAATTTAATTTGTTGTACATTAAATTCTTCATCTTTCCGTTTAGAAACCTGCCACGTAGTATTGCAATTGGTATTCCACTAGTGACCATATGCTACGCTTTGATCAACGTGTCCTATCTAACAGTAATGTCACCAATGGAAATGATGACCACCGAAGCTGTTGCCGTAACATTTGGAAATCGGGTTTTGGGAGTGATGGCATGGTTGATGCCGCTATCTGTTACCATTTCCACGTTTGGTGCAGCCAATGGAACACTGTTCGCAGCTGGTAGGCTGTGTTTTGCTGCGAGTCGAGAAGGCCATCTACTGGATATTTTGTCCTACGTGCATATCCGTAGATACACTCCAGCACCCGGACTGATATTTCACGTGAGTATTTCTATTACTAATACATACATACCTACATAAAATAAAAATAAGAAAATAAATGAAACAAATAAAATCCAGACCTTTGCTCTTCATTATTGGACTCTCTCAACGTCAGATATATTTTCGAAAAGGATTATGGATGCTAAGAAAACAATTTGGGAAACACTTGTATGTATCTTTATTAGAATTTAACATTTTTTTAAATAATACATTCTTGGAAAAAAATATTAAATTCATGTAAATTTTATGGAAATAAAATTTGATATATATTCTATCCGATTCAAAATTAGGTCAATTAAATTAAGCACATTGTCTCCTTTCACTATTTAGATTCTAGTTCATTAAGAAACTTTTGTTTTATATATTCAATTAAACTGGTGTGATAATTTTGTCTGGAAATATACAGGGAGGGACTAGATTTTTTTCATCAGTTGAGAATTTTCAAAAAAATAATGATAGTTTCTTACATGTATATATCTACTCTATTCGAAAAATATTTAGTTTTCATGATACAGGGTGTAAAAGGTTTATTTAAAAATTTGTAGTTTCGTAATACAAGTATTTCCCTGACACACAATTCTATAGCTAAAATGTTTCAGAATTTTTGGCTTTTTAGTTGCAAAAAATAGGGATATTTATATGTAAGGTTGTTAAAACTTAGCCGCGGAACGTAGGAGTACGCATTATTTATTAAAAAGCAACAAATTAAATTGTCTACAATACACCACCACATACACCAATGGATAGGAATTAATCACGCACGATAAAAAATCAACAGTATACTAACTTGACGTGAACGTAAAAAACATTGAGGCTTACTCAAGTCTCGGTTGACCCGCTTGGCACGACATTCAATTGCGTCTCTCTCTGACAGCCTTATTTATATGTCACTGACAAAGTACAAAAAATTATTATTTAAATCTCGTTTTATAAATCTGTTCATTGCCAAATAAAATGTTTTAATAAAAAATGCTTCATAATTAATTAAAATATTTAATAGAAATTCATTTCTGCACGGTACTAGAAACTGGTCCACTGTAAAACCTGGGCTCACGCAAGACAAAGCATACAGTCATCGACCAGCACAGCGAAAAAAAAAACGGAAAAAAAATTGAAAGAATTTCTTTTCTAAGGAAAGAAATAAATAAAATTTTATTATAATGCCTAATTTATATCACCGAATTCAACTGTTTTTGCCGTTTTTGTTATTTTAATCAATAAAATTAATTTGTGGTTTTAATGAATAATTATTACCTGATGTTACAACTGTTCCAAATTTTGTCCACCGACGTGTAAACATTTTTGGCCCCTACTTATCCAGTTTCTACGAACTAAACAAATATTGACGTGCTTCACCATAAAATAAATGTTGTCTTGTTTCACCATAAATTAAAATGATATCCATCAATTCCGAATTACTATACACGTAAGCCATTTTTGCACTTGAAAAACTAATGTAAACACTATCGCAAAAACGTTAATACTAAAATCGGATTTCAGTGTTTGGAATCGTCTGAGACCATGTGGAGAGAGAGCACATTGCGCACAGCCGTTAATGCGAATGACGCTAGAGACCACTGTAGTCCAGCGATATGAGAGTTGAAAATACCACAACTTCAATAATATTTTTCTCGGAAACTATAATCCATTTCTCATGATGCATCTGTTCCCAATTCTTTTTAGATACGTTGTGAATCACCCTGTATAGGTGTCCCCCTATCAAATAACATCGATATGATGAGACTCAATATTTATTCATCAGCGTAGGCTTTAAATTTAATGGGAAATTAAAAAATTCAATATTTAACGTATTCCTTTAGAAAAAATTAAGTACAATTAAATCTAAGACAAATGGAGAACCCTGTATATTAAAAAATAACTTAAAACATGCTGATATCTATTTGGCACAAATTTTATTTATCATTACTAAAGCTATAGAGAAAACACTTAGTTCAAGAGTGCTTATTAATCCGTAATTTTTGTAGTTTAACCAATTTTGAACCTGATACTGTTCTCGAGACTTCCATGATGGGCATTCTTATGTGAATCAGGCTATCGAACAAACTATCATTATTTTTTGATAATCTACTGGTTCATAAAGTTTAATGAAAAAAAAACTAGACGACATTACATTATCAATAATTTGTTACAAGTATTACAGAAACAATTTTTTTTTAATGAGATTATTATTAGGTATACCTTATCTTTTGATTCAGACAAGGCGAAAACCTCGCATTCGTGGGAGAAATTTTCCGACTCGATTTTTTTGCATATTCAGATTCGTGAGATGTTCCTTAGCATGAGTCAAGATGATGCCAGCCGGAAATCTGGTGCCCATTTGTGTAACAAACTTTTTTTAAACAAATTATAAAAATTGGTTTTCTCATTCCGGTTTTTTGGCACATTATAAACAAAAAAGTTCCTAAATTAAAGTTAAACATCGCCCTACAAGATGCTGAAGAGTTTTTGAGACTGGCATTATTCTAAAACCTTGTTTTTTAATTGTTAATAAAGCGTTATGAGCCACGCGCGCGCCTCTCTCATACGCGAATTCGCCATTTCGTCTAGCGGCTTCAGCTTATTATCATTTCCCAAGATCCATTACACAAAGACTTAGTTAAACAATGTAAATGTACAAAAAAACTGTAAGACTAAAGCTTGTTCTTGTATGAAAAACTGTGTCACTTGTGTACCTTTATGTGGTTGTAACATAGAACAGTGTGAGCAGAGCCGGATTAACAGTGTCTTAGGCCCTGAAGCGCAAGGGTTTGACGGCCCCTCTATGAAAACCCCCGTATTCCAAATTTAACGCTAATGGGTTATTTTTTGAAAAATTTGGTCGACCATCTTGGATCCGCCTTGAATTTTGCAAAATTGACCTCGGATCCGTGATCAGCGACTCCGAAAACCCCCGTATTTTGGCGTGAATCTGTTATTTTTTTGAAAATCTGAACTTAATTGACCTGTTTTTTTTATGTTAGAAAAAGAACCATAAATTTTGACCGCGGATTCACGTTCGGCGGTGTTTTAACCATATAAATGGACATTTGAATATTTTGTATTTTTCCTAGCACTTTTTCGTGAATTTTTGCTAAATTTCACCTATTTTTTGAGGTTAGGAAATTCCTGAGATGTGATAACTCAATTCTGACACCGGATTCGTGATCAAAAGGTAAACATACTACAGATAACAGTAACTTTTTTTGTGTGTGGCTGTGCAATCAAATTAACGAAGTATGCAGGTAGTTTCGTCATGAGACAATATGAGCCGCAAACGCGTAGGTATGTAACTACGGTTTCGTAATTTTTTTGTTTTTTAAATTTTCACTTGGTAGGAAAATCAGAATCACAAATGTTAACGTTAAGGAAAAATACATAATAACATTTTTTTTTTAATTTTTATTATTAAACTACGAAACAAGAAAAACAATCAACAAAAACAAAACAATGAAAGCAAAGATATAAACTCTTAAAATATACACAAAATTCAGTTAGTAGAGCCTGGGCAAATCAAAAATTGGCGAGGATGAGGAGTGGCAGGCCAATCATTTAAAATAAGGAATCAAAGTGTAGGATACTGAAAAACTTGTCTCTATAGATTAGTTAAAAAGAGTAAAATTTCTTGACGGACCGGTGGTAGGGTGCGAGCGGCAGGCCCGGATCCAGAGACTGGTTTTGGGGGTGGCGCAAAGCACTTCTTTATCATTATTATTATTATTTTTATTATTGTTGTTGTTGTTGTTATTTTTTTGATGACGTAAGGTGTAGGTTAGGAAGGGGGACTTGCATTAATATCGACTAACTGCCTGTTGTCGTTTGGAGAAATGGAAAATCTTTAAAAAATGTTGTGCTTTGGGGGTGGCGATCGCCACATCGCCACCCCCTCTGGATCCGGGCCTGGCGAGCGGGCCCTTGAGACCACCGGGCCCTGAAGCGCACGCCTCATGCGCCTCATGGTTAATCCGGCACTGAGTGTGAGAATTCTTATGATTGAGTAAATATGTGATAATAATAATATGCAGTATTAAATAAATGTTCTTTAATAAAAATAAAATGTATTTGATACTATTATTGCCCTTTTATTTTTTTTCTGCACTCTATCTATGAATTATGAAATTTAAATAATCAATTTTTACATTATTTTATGAGTAATAATAGTACTTAGAATGCTAAATTCAAAGAACATGTAAGCTGAAGCCGCTAGACGAAATAGCGAGTCCGCGTATGAGAGGCGCGCGCGCGACTCATAGCGCCTTATTAACAATTAAAAAACAAGGCTTTAGATTAGAATAATGCGAGTCCCAAAAACTCTTCAACATCTTGTAGGGTGATGTTTAAACTTTAATTTAGATACCTGGCAACATCAAAAATAACAATTTTTAACCGTGAAATCGGCCGTTGAAAATCGTCATTTTCGCAATTTTAGCAACTTAAATTGTTTATAACTTCAAAACTATCAATTCTAGATGCATAGTGCATGGGAACTTCCTTGTTTATAATTAGGATGTAACGAATGCCAAATTTCGCGAATGCGAATGCGAACATCTGTTGTTGACATTTGCGAATGCGAATACGAATATTCAGTTTTTAAATCTAGCGCCGTTTATCTATGATTCAAAATATGCCGCGCGCGACGCACATAATATTTCCGGTGACAGCGGCGCGGCGCTAGAGGCTAAAGAAATTAGCGTTGTTAAGTTGGTAGAACGGTATTTTTGTATGATTGGAATTTTGTCAGATGAGTTTGTGAGTTGTGAGGTTAGACTTAGTGATGGGCATAATCGACCAATTTTGATAATCGAGTTATCGGTAATCGAGTACTTCTAATAATCGAGTGATCACTCGAGATACGAGATATTGGTCATTTTCATCCCAGCGGCGCACAAATATGTTTGTATTAGTCATATATAACTTATAAGCGTAGCTAAAAAAAAAAGCTCACGCACTTCAAAACCTAACTTTTTCGTTTTATTCTAAAAAAAAGGTTACGCCATCACCGACTATTTGCAGTATGCACTAACATTTTGAGGTGCAACCGTAGGATAATAATCACTCGAGTGGTGGGAGTAAACATCTCGAGATATCTCGAGTGATCTCAATAATCGAGTACCACTCGATTTTTCACTCGAAACCTCCCATCACTAGTTAGACTGTTGTTAGTTATTTCTTAACTTCTTTGTTTAATTTACCTGATATTGTTTTCACATTCTGTATTTTTCTTTCACGTTCATATTCGCAAAATATTCAAAGATATTTGCAAATGCGAATGCGAATATCATAAATTAAACGAATATTCGCGAACGCGAATGCGAATGCGGATATTCGTTACATCACTATTTATAATGTGCCAAAAACCCTAAAATAAAATTTCCGGAGTGAAAAAAACAATTTTTAGAATTTGTTTAAACAAATGGGCACCAGATTTCCGGCCGGCATCATTTTGATTCATGTTATGGAACATCTCACGAATCTGAATATGCAAAAAAATGGAGTCGGAAAATTTCTCCCACGAATGCGAGGTTTTCGCCTTGTCTAATTTTAAGTATTTAATGTTTGTAATTTGTAATTTAATTAGAATATTCATAATAAGTATTATTTAAAATTTTCTAAATTTCTTTGAAAATTGAACTGAATATAAAAGAAATTACATTACATTTCCATATATTTTCCACACTTTACAATGAAATATTATTAAGTAATTGTTTATTGTTCCTCTCAGAATAATTACTAACAATCATTCTTTGATTGATCTTAGTTTAATCCATATCAAATTAATATTTATTTGCAAGATTTGAACAAAAAAATTTTCTAAAGATTTTTTAAGGAATGTTGGAACTAAAACAAGGCAATCAGATTTTCTCTGATTCAACTACTATTTTTTTGAAAGTTGTATCCTTTAACCGGATATCTTCAAGACCATAAAAAAGGTAAACATATTATATGATAAATATTTCTTTCATATTATTCAGTTTCACTACTCATCATTATTAATCATTATACATTGGAAATTGGATATTTTATCTCAATAGAACTGTTTTTCCATTTTAGTCATTAATTGCCGGCGCTATGGTAATGTATGGAACTATAAATTCACTGATCGATTTCTTCAGCTTTACCGCCTGGATTTTCTATGGAGGCTCCATGGTTGCTCTAATTGTGATGCGATACACTAAACCTAACTACCCCAGGCCCTACAAGGTAGGTTGAACGTCGTGAAACAAAAAACGCAAATTTCATAAACTTCTTGTTTCAGATCTTAAGGTTCGGTAATATGGTTATACAGAATAAGTACTTTTAAGATGAATATCATTTCACTAGCATAGTTAACACTAATTTTATAGAAAATTTGGTAGAGCAGTTACATATAGTAGTAGCACAAGCCAAAACTATTTTTATTTTAAAGAATTTTATCATCACGTCAAATATCAACACGAATCTGGCACCAGTAATATCTCATTCGTGTTTTTATCTTAAGTAAATATTGTGTAAACCATTAAAACTTACATTTACCAATTTCTGATTAATCAAGAAATTGGTTAAGAAATTGGAGTGAATTTATAAGCCGGTTCTTGAAATTCTTGTGGCGCTTTTTCAATAGGGGCAATCATATTTATTTTATATACCTTGAATTTGATATTTATTTTTATTTTATACATATATTTCGGGAATCTACACATATTACATATACATATATATTATTACAATTACCTTGGTCTAGCATGAGTTATTTCTATTATGCTTTGCAGTTTTCCATTATAATAAATTTTTATATTATAAAAATTGGCCAATTTATTGTAACTTGTAAAATGGTGTCACAAATGTAATAGCTTCTTAAACAATATACTTGAAATAAAAAATTGGTAAATGTAAAACATGTTTTAAACGTAAATTACATAAATTTAAGTAAACTGTAGTGCCTCTCTTTTCATAGTTTCGAAAATGCACAAGCATAACATACTTGTACCCATTATTTAATTATAGCAACAGTTCTTTCCATATTTTTAATTGGGTGAAAATGTCAATGTTTTCAGGTGCCGATAATCATTCCTTATTTGGTATTAGTGATCTCTGTATACCTGATAATAGGCCCTATTTTAGATAAGCCTACAATTGAGTACCTGTATGCCACTTTCTTTATCCTGGGAGGAATGGTGTTCTATGTTCCATTCGTTTATTACAAATTACGCATACCTTTCATGGGTAAGTTAGTCAAGAATATTAATCCCATATTATTTTATCTACTGAAATCTTTTTATCTTAATTATTTGAGAAAATAGTAAATCGTTCTATATAGAGTGTACCATTTGTTATTTCTTAAGTATTTGTTGTCTCTTTGTACTTACTTATAGGTGGCGCTGCTAGAACAAGAAACTTTTGTATTCTAAAAATAAAGTTCAATATGGAACTAAAATTTTACAATTTTTCCCTTTTACCTACCGTATAAAATGAACTATTTGTTTGATTTCTCTAATTTGATTTATTATTTGTTAACAAAAATATATGTACTGTAGATAGATGTTTGTTGGGAAATTTTGCATTATCAGATTGGGAATATACTTATCTGGTTTAAACAGAAGTGAATAAATATTTTATATTTGAAATGAGACATTTTATAACAGGGTTCATAGTTCAAAAGTAATAAAGAATTCCCTGACTTATAAAAAAACCCAGGTCACTTATAGTTCATTTTTACATACTAATTGGTGTTTATGCATTAAATTTTTTCTCGACTGGACACCATAATCTTTTTTATACCCTAACAACTTCTTATAAAGGTTTCAAATCCACAAATAGTTTTCTCTTTCAAGAACCCAGGGCCGGCTTTCACAAAATTTCCAGTTGCAAACATCAAATTTCCTGACTTTCATGAATATTTTTAAAATTCCCTGACTATTCCCTGTTTTTTATGAAGAATAACAAATTCCCTGACTTTTCCCGGTATTCCCGGTTTTCCAGCCGCTACGAACCCTGTATAAGTATTCTTTTTTTAAATAATACAAACTGAAGAATTGTTAAAAACTGTTACTTTTAAGGATAAAAAAATAACAATACAAATCAAAGAATATAATTCACTTCCAGAATTTGCACAATATTTTCGTTACAGTTTTTAATGTTTTTTTATTAAAATATTCCAAATAGACCTCTCTCTACCAAAAACTTGTTTAAAAAAATTCATAGCAAAAAAAATTTATTTAAATATAAACACATTAAAAATTAAATGTTAAATTTGTAATGTGCAGTCAATTTTTAACTTGACTTGCAAAATTCATTTGAAAAACACTGAATATCTAGACTCATCTTAGCTCACCCCTAAATCTATAAAAATTTGTAAAGTGTTTATAGTGGTCATGGATCCATCACGTTGCAGTGAAAGACAAGAGTGGGAATAGCGCATATTTACTATGCAGTTTGGGCACTGTTTAGTTCAGCCCGTAACAAAATAATAGCTATTCACCGCTTTTGTTTCTTATTAAACGTAATTTGTTTATGTGGTGTAAAATTTTGTTACCTACGTGTTGTTTCTGTAAAGACAGACTGACAGCACTTGCATTAGTTTCTATAGAAAAATCAGTTGTGCGAGAAATACTAAACATTAATGAAAAAGTAACTGAAAAGTTTATTTCGGACAAGAAATAATGCCGAGTACCTATATTTTCCCTATATTTCAGTAGTATTTAAAATAAAACTTCTTATATCTGATTTTTTTTTCAATAAGTACTTCGTACCTAAATTTTTCCACCCTCGCTGGTATAGAAGTCAAGAGCTGCCACTGTGTACAAGTAATGCGTTATCAATATTTGGGTATTAAAACAACTATTTATATCAGATATGCAATGTGCACATGCATCACCAACTCCTTTTCCCCAGTCTATTTCTATTTCTTGGGTAATACTTGACTGATTATTTATGACAGTCAGTATTTTAATGTACAAATTTTAGTCAGCAGTTTCCCCCTCTGTTGAACCTTATGACTAGGAAGGATTTAAAATATATGCTGACCTATAAATGAAAAACAAAAAGAAACTGATATAAATACATATTTAATTTTGTTACCGATTTAATTTTCTTGTCTTTGCAGATGGTGTGACAGTGTTTCTGCAGATGCTATTGGAAGTGGCACCAACATCGACAATGTTGGAGTAAACCAAATTAAAATTAGTTGATGCTCAAATAGAATATTAGTTGCATCATGGTTACAAGTCCCATCTACACTAAATATTTTTGTTATGCTTGTTAAAAAACATGTGTAGATGGTTATAATTTTTGAATTGTAAGAAAATATAAAAATTGCACGGATCATTCCGAATATATTGGACATTCTATGGGGTGCAACGTGGGTGTCCTGATAACTATAATTATTTAAAATAAAAGCAGATAAAATTAAATATTGTACAAATTTAAGGTACAATATTTATAGAGTAATATTAACATAAGTTACTGATTATTAATACATATTGTCTATTATAAAAAATTTTAGAAAGTCTAAAATTATACTATCTAGACACAAATAATATTTTTAAATTAATTTTATCTGAGTTTATATTTACATAGCATTTTTTACCAACTGTGTACATTTATTACCAAAAGTCTGACTTTTTTAATAAATTATTTTTATATTGTTAATAATAATCTTGTAACCATGATAGTGTCGTAGAATTCGTAAAAAATGTTTATGGTAAATATATGCTGCTGTCATTCCTTACCTAAACATGTTGATTATTTGATATTTATTTTAATCTGGATTTATATTTTTTTATTTTATATTAAAAGATTCACATCAAGAGAGAACCACAGAAATTATTAAATTAATCAAATCCAAGTAGCTGATCGTTGAAATTATTTCTGGATTTTTATAATAATAGCAGGTACCTGTAGTCCAATGTTATACATATCCAAAAAAGAAAAAAACTCTCTAATAACGAATCTTTTTCATTAAATGTGGTAACCTAGAAGTTGAAAATTGTTTTTCTTTATATAACTAAAGCAGGTAAATAGATGAGAAACATTGTTGCCAAATGTAAAGCATAATGTCAAATATGTGAATAAAATTGTGAAAAATTAACCATTTTTTATTTTTCTATCCCTATTACATTTATATCCATGTGTTTTATCATCCTGTGTATATTTCAAATAAGGCTTCTGCTAAACATAATTTGCAGTTTGTATGGGTATTTTATACATATTATGAAGTCTTAAAAAAAAAGATATATTCTATTTTAAAAAAAATTTCAGAAATATATTTTTTGAAACATCTCGTTTTAACATGGAAAGTTCTGTGAAATTCTGTGTTTTATAATCCATTATTAACCCTTTTGCTGCGCAATACGTCTGAACGTAGCTACCGCGCCGTGCGCGAAAGTTTATCGCATGTGAACATATACGTCTGGAGCAGTTAGACCACTTATAGTTTTACATTATGTTGTGTTAAATTATGATTTACGATCAATTTTACGATTTTATTTTAAATAAAATACAGTATATCTACAGCTGTACTAAATAGAAACTGAAAGAGAGATGAATAATCTTGGCATTATTACCAGTACCTCCTTCCATTCAAAATATTTGTCACAATCGCCCGCAAAAATTCCCCATACCAATTGCAACAACCGAGTCACTAATGTGCATGGTTGCGAATATATTTGAGCAGCCTGATCCAATTTAACTATTCAAGCGAATTAATCTGTCTGGAGCAGTTTGAGCCCTATAAATTTTTAGCAAATAAATACGTCTGGAGCAGTGAAAGGGTTAAACCGAGGGTTAAACCAATAAAAAATATATTTTATAATGAACTTACTTATATAATATAAATATTCCATATTTATAAAGATCAGACATTTATATAAAATATTTTAATCTAAAACAACTCATCTTTTAAAAAACATTCCTCTCACACTTCCGTCCAGTTTAATTTTGTTTAGGTCTTTACTTTCCCATAAATACTTAAAATATCACCTTTTCCTTTCTTTCGTTTTCGATCAAAACTTTTTCCTTTGGCTGTTGATTTTCCTGCATTGTTTTTTCCTAACTGTAGAAAGTTCTGCCTAGATGTTTCTTTTTCCTTTTCTTTTTTCTTCTCAACTTGCAATAATTTATAGTTTTTATATTTATTTTTGGGGGGTTTTGCTCCTGAAATAATTATTAAGTTAAACAAAATTAACTACTATTTATTATGGAGGAGATATTTCCAAATCAGGTAATAAGACCAAATTTTTGACAGAAACTTATAACAATAGAAATAAATGCTTAGAAAAATTTTAGTCAACTAACTAGTTACCTAATTTTATCGCCAATTGTATTTCAGCTTCTTCTTTCTTCTGTGGATCAAAACCAGACATACCAAATTTGATAATCTCATGTTTCGCTTTCTTTATATTGAAATCGCCATGTTCTTTATTTTTTGTAATTTCTTCGGAGCCATTAAGTTTTTTCTTTCTCTTCGTGGATTTATAAGATTCGTACGTAACTTCTTGGAAATCTATTTTTCCTTTTTTTTGCATCATAGAGCCTCTCGTGGGTATAAAAGTGTCCAGTTGTTCTTCCATATTATGGTCATATGGTCTTCTAAGAAAAACATAAAACTCAAAAAAAATATTTCGGTTTCAAAAAGTAGGAAAAGAAAGGACTAAATGTGGTTTAACTAACTCTATTCCCTATTTTTGTACCGAATACATAACCTCACCTTCCTCACCTCATACATCATATAACATCAATGGGAATGGATCAAGGGGCAGGGGCTATACCACAAAACATATAATACAACAGGCTATACACTCCCCCACTTCTGACAGGACTATGTTTTAGAATAGGAACGCGTCAATAGGTATGCTAATATTTTGGATTCTATAATAAACAAATTAAAAAACAGTGCAGTTCGGTGCAGTTTCTTCATTTCAGTGGAGAATTGATAGATGTGAAGATTTTCTTGTATTGCTGAATTCTACATAGATACTTATGTGAACTGTGTTCAATAATTAATTAGGTATTCATTTTTTGCTATCATTAATCAATCATAATGGGTGACCGCTGTTTGTATCTGTGTGTAATCATTGATTGAAATATTGTATTAATAAGACATCTAACATACGGCAAAATATGTTGTCCACCGGGAGAGCCGACCACAAATGCGCTAGTGTCGTCTATAGTCGAGTCCAAAATGGTGAAATCCATTGTACTGTATATATTGGTTTGCGAATTGACACTTTTGAATATATAAATGCAGGTCATATGTTTATCGTGTATAGAGATCCATTGATTTGCGGTGGTGTCTGGTTAATAATTGTACTTTAAACTGTAATAACGTTTTATACAAGAAAATATAACTCATTGGAAGATTTTTTCTCATTTGAACGGTTAAAAATTATATTTTCACATAATTAATAGATCGTAATATAAAAAATACATACATGTTAAATATGTATACTCACGGTGTGTCAACAGTTAGTGGATAGGAAAAAAAAATTTGATCTTTCATTTTTCGTTCTCTTCGTAAAATTTTAAGTACTGACACGAAAAAAATCTTGCCTAACATATACTTCGACATGAAATTAAAAAAAAAATAATTTTACGAAAGAAAGTTTTCTTGATATAATGTTACGAGGTAAGAATAAATTCTCAAAATCAGCAAGAACACCTGTACTTATTAACCATATAACTTTAACCATAAATATAAATTTCTGATATTTGGTTTTGAAAGTTTATTCTTTTCTGTATTGTGAATATGGAAATATACAAGTTTAAGGTAGATAGTTGCAAATAAAAATAAATATAACTTATTTAAAAATAAGAGAGAATAAAGTTAAACATTTTTTGAACGGCGATACAATTTTTAAATTATACGCGGCTTATTACGAAAACGAGCTTATATTTTATCGGTGCAAATGACCCTTTAAATTAAAAATTATTCTAGATTTCATATTCTTTACTAGAAAAATGATAAACTCTCGTATATATCTACCTCATATATTTCTTCAGATGGGATAACAATCTACATTTGTTTTTTGTTTTATGTTCTACTTCTTCCCGATGTACCTTTACAGGATATGAACATTCTTTATTAAATGAAATGGCAAGATACATAACCACTCTGTAGACTAGTTTTAATAATGAAGTCTAGACATAGAGTAGCAATAACCAGTGACCATTTAAAATATAACGGTGTATATGTTAGTTATCTATATCTCATCCACTTGAGAATTTTTTTGGATATCTTCAAAATGTTTTATTGCAATGTGACATTAAAGTTAAGTTAGCAGATGACTTTTATTGGTTTTAAAATCTTTCTTAATCTTTTGTCATTGGCTGTTGCTAGTTATACATTTATTTTATTAGTTTACTATTACCGTTTCTCATTAGAACTACAGACTATTTTAAATATTATTCCCAAGACACAATTGCCGCCTACATTTAAACTAATTTTAGTAAGTAACTAGTTATATTATGTTGGCATCGTTGCAAAATCTTATAAATAATTAGTGGCGTCTCAAAAACACGAGTCGACATATTTTCTGCATCGTCATTTTTGAAGAATTTTCTTATGAAAACCTACAATATAGTATAGATATTGTGTAAATATTCTATACATTCTACATATTTAAACAAATATAATACCATTAAATATATGCTCAAACCGCAGTGAACTAATGGTTAACCGCGTTAGGCCGGTGTCCCATGCATCCGAATTCCGACGATACGAAGGTCCGAAAGTGTTCGTATTGGTTAATATACATTCAAATTTTTACCGCTCATTTTCATCCGAAATTTTTAAAATTCATACGACGTCGGAAAAAGTAGAAATAATTTTAACTTTTATCCGTAATCGTGTTTTTTAACCTCACTTTTTAAGTTTTTAACATACTACGATTGTTGTTTGATATATTTACAGTCAAATAAATGTTATATTATAATGTCGAATGTAGAAAATATAATATTACGTATATTTTCTATAATATATACCTATGGTTGTCATTTGAAAATGTTTCACCTTCATCTTGTAATAAATTCCATGGTTCTATACTTGATTTCTATGAGATTAATTTCGGATGCATGTGAATTATAATATTATCAATAGGGAGTTTTTGCATATCGGTTTTAAGAATACCGTAAACGGTAAAGTAACGTGAGAGGGCATTGCGCATGTGCGACAGTTACCGTTGGCGTTTATCGTTACGGTATTCCGATATCCAACCCAGATTACGGTATTAGTTTACCGTGCATTAAGGATAGTAATTTTGTGTACGAATAATAATCCATCCATTTTTCTTTCACTTGCCGATTGCCTTTTACCGCAAGAGTATCAAATGAAAGCATAACCGTCAGAATTGAGGTTAGGACACGCTACACCATCGCGAATAAACGACACGATATGCAAAAACTGGAAGCATTCAGTACACGCTATTTGTCAATACGGTATTCAGTCACGTGTTTTTAACGTTTATCGTATTCGTAAATACCTTATGCAAAAACTCCCTATTCGTACGAATTAAAATATTTTCGGATATCGTACATCGGATTTCGGATGCATGGGACACCGGCCTTAGCTGTTCTCTCGTCAAAAAACTATATTTGTTCTTTGTAGTTCTTTGACTTGACTCCGTTCTGCTTCTGCTTCTGCTCATTTATGTTTATTTAGCTCTGTTTCGTGATCGGTGTTGCTAGATGGGCACAATTTTCTGAAATATACAAAATTTTGCATTACTTTGAATAAATAATTCATGAATAGCTACATATAATTCCAAGAATGATTAAAAATTCTAATTTGCATTCAAAACTTAAAACCCCAATTTCACGTGATATCTACTTAATCGGGTTTAGGAACAAAAATCATTCATTTCTTGTAATTTTTATTTTACTTTGGGTTCTTATAACTGAATTATGAATGTAATTTAAAAATAAAAAAATTTTATAGGGCAAATTTAATATATGAATTTAATTAAACAGAATAACCATAATAAAGACAGAAGTCTGAGATTTTAGTTGAGAATGTTGAGATTCTTATTATTAATAGACGATGCATTTAGGGTATAGGTACCTATAATTTAGCACGTCACAGCTGTCCGCCAAATTCGTTTTAATTTTATATATTTTTTAATTTTTAATTAAACAACGGTTTCATACAAAAATAATTAATAGAGGGTATTCAGTATTAATACAGGTTATTTTTGTCACATTATTTCATTCTATGTTATATGTTAATATCTAAGGTGGCAAACTAAACACCCCATAGTTCAGAATTTTGGTGACTTGAATGTATTCGGAAAATAGAATACGACACGGCAACGCTGTTGCTGTTCATGACTCGTGTAGCAATATGGAGGTTTCGCGCGGTAGCGTGTTTTGGTAAACTATTATACTGAGTGATAGTTAAAGAATATAATAATTGAGCTTGAGCTTTTTAACAGCATTTAGTGAGGTACGTACCCTTTAGATTTAGTTATGTTATAATTCACTGAGAAATACATGTATTGCAATCTTACCTGCATATTATCTGCTGGCTTCCAAACAATGTGGAAATGTGTGGCGCCAGAAGGTAATATACTTCTGAATTAAGATGTTGCTTTATTTCAGATTTTGATTACCAAGATGATGCCAGTAGGAGGGGCTCCTCCTGTTCATGGTTCAGGAAGCGTATCGCAAAGCAATACACAAAATTCTAGTTCTTTAACACCTACTACTGGTTCTAATAAATCGAGTAGTAATTTGGTAAGATGTTTTAAACTTATAAATTTTTCCGGTTGTTTCAAAATTATGTAAATCAATATTTTTGTATTACATATTTAAAGAATGAAAAAAAAAAATTGATGTCGTTTACTTAACGTTTAATGATAATTGCAGCTGTTTTATTGTTGATTGATTATATCTGTAGTATTATAGGTACCTACCTATATCATCGAAAGACTTGGAATTTCCTGGGAACTTGTTTTTTGTCAATAAAACAACTATTTTTCTATGAATGTTTAGCACTTGATCAAAAGCTTTGTCAACATTTATTTTTCTACTTTTATTTCAATTGTGAACAACAAAAAATGCTTCATAAATAAGGGATAAATTGTTAATGTTATTAACTGAGATTAAAGTAGGTAAGTATACGAAATTAAGAGATATATAAAAGGAACGATATTAAAAAGAAAAAAATAATTTAAAAATAATCTATTATCATTAATTGGTAATTTATGTCCATATGTTCCTGGTTGTTTGGATTATTTACAATTTAAAGTAAATGTGAATAATTAAATGTTGATAAAGCTCTTGATGAAGAGAAAAACTTCCATGGAAAAATAGTTGTTTTATTTATAAAGTACCAAGTTCCCAAGAAGTTCCAAGCCTTTTATGTGAAATAATGGTTCAAAAATTTTTTAAACGCTTATCGTGCAATATTTTTTATTTGAAACTAAGTGTCTATAAAAAAGGTAAAGTGCATAATTAGATTTTTTTTCAGAAACCAAATTATACTCTTAAATTTACCTTAGCTGGGCACACCAAAGCTGTTTCTTCTGTAAAATTCAGCCCTAATGGTGAATGGTTAGCTAGTTCCTGTAAGTAATTATTTGAAATTTTCAGAGTATCGTTACTGTCCTGTTATGTCATTTAACATCGATCTTACATCATGTAATTTAAGACTAGATTAATTTTTAACTTTGATCTTTTTTGTCTTACATAAATTATACATGTTTTTTATTTAGCTGCCGATAAGTTGATAAAAATATGGGGTGCTTATGATGGCAAATTTGAAAAAACTATATCAGGACACAAACTAGGAATAAGCGATGTTGCATGGTCAAGTGATAGCAGGCTGTTAGGTAAGATAATTTTAAATTATTTTATGGCAATGTGTTGTATACAAAGGCTTTAGCGATAATGTATTTTTTGTATCATACAGTTTTAAGAGAGTAATTAAAAGTTGCAAATAAAGAAGTAATTTTTTTATAATGTATCAAGTTTACAGTAATCTTTAGTTAAACTGACTGAGATACAAAAGTAAAGCATTTCTAAAGAAATAATATATATATTTAGTTTAAGTTGCAAATTTTTTATTGTGGAATAAAGGATTCTAATACCCATTTAGATTATCTGTTTTTAAGTGATATAATAAAAATCTCTAGATATTAATTTTCAAGGTATAGATTATGTTACATGTTCAAGGTATAAATTGTGTTATTTGTCTAAAAAAAATCATAATAGTGATAAATTTTGGTTACCTATGCGAATATAATACCTATTTAAGTAAATATTTTTTAATTGATTTTATTAATTTGTTAAAAAAAGAAAAACTTACAAATGCAAATTATTTGATTTATGAATATTAAGGTTCGAAAGTAAATTGTACATGTTGTAAATAACAGAAGCCAATTCAGGACCTACATTCCTAAACGACCTTCAAGATGTTTTGAGCTACATGTTTAAAATATCCTATTTAGAAGAAAAGTATATAATTGTTTATACAGAGTGAACCTTAAATATGTATATAAANCTTGAACTGAATAAACAGTCTTCTTTGTTAAATTGACTGACACACATATATATATATATATATATATGCAAATTGCTCCAGAGAAAGTTATTTTTTCAAAATTATAAATATTTATCGAGATATTAATTGTCTTATCATTCGCCTTTTTACTTGTACTTTTTGAGAACCGCTATCCATGTGAAAAGTAATAATTTATGCCAACGTACTGAAGAAGTGCACATGGGGGAATTTTGTATAGAATGAGACAAAAATCTTTTAGTCTCATTTTGTACAAATATGCTTTAAATAAAGTAACATGTCCTATCTGTCTAGTACTGAATAATTATTTTCAAAATTTCGGCCAACAACTTTCTTGTTTATTGTAAACCGTAACCATTAAATTTTAAATTTTGATAACCATAACCAATATTCTATAGATATCTGTAACACAACTTTTACAGAGCCTTAATAGTAGAACCGTTTTAAGATTGCCATTACGTCACGCTTGTGTCCTAATATCAAAGACAGTCGTTGCAGATGTGTATTCATTATTAAACGCGCTAAAAAGAGATACAATGATGGTATAAATGTCTTCATAGTCTCAATCTATCACAGACAACCATTCCAATATTTTATGTATGTTAGAGTGGAAGAAAATGGAGGACGTTTGTTGGTATTAATTTTAGACTATAGTTTGACTAGCGCATTTAAGGAGGTTCGATACCAAAAGAAAAATGGTAAGAATGTTTTCAAAGCAATTGAAATCTGTTAATAAATATGCAAACTGACTTGTGTAAAAATATCAGATCGATTGACAACGTAGTTTTTTTGAAAAATGAATTTAAAAATTATGCTCTTTTACACAGGCTCTTATGGGAGTTGGGAAAAAACTTTAATCAAACGTGAATATTCAAATATTGCTCTTAAAAATGGTTAGGATCGGGAAAATAGAATTGTAATTAAAGAATTAAATATTACTAAACATTTTAAAACAATAAAAATATGCACTTACAATGTAATTATTGAGATAATGGAGTGAATAGATAACGTTTTGACAAATTTGAACAAACATCTGATCCAATGAAAGGAAATATGGCAACACTGTACGCTGTATTTAATGCTTGGACTGATGCGTTATATTTGAATAGCTCAATTATAGATTATAAAATTATTCCAGTCGAAAATATATGTAGTAATAATTAATATTAAATAAATTTTTCGTGATCTAAAGCAATATACTAGCAATTTGAAACAAAAATTGAAAGGATCTCTTTGCAAAACGAACAGTTTAGTTGTTATGTCATAATCTTCAATTTGACAAGTCGAAGTCTCACTATCATACATTGAACTTCTTGATAGTTATCATATGGATTCTCGGTTTGCACATTTTATTTTTTTCTCATCAATCCACATTCTGTTTTACACTCATTTTATACTTTTCAGTCATTACTTTTCCTTTGTACCTTGGTTGTTCATTCATGTTTACGGAATTCACGCAAAGTTGACAGTAATGACAGTTGACCCAACTTTTACCACCACGCCATGGCAATGTTGCCAGATTTCATCCATAATTTTACAAGTTCGTAATGAATAAATAGACGCTTTTATTCAAATAAAAAGTGAACTGACGTGTATTAAACACGAAAAAAATATGCAAGCTAATATGTGTTGTATAAATTTCATTCTAAATAGCATACTTAGTTCGCTGAAATTAATTTATTAATTGCTACTGCAACAAGACTCCCGTGTATAAACATAGGCATACTCTTACGTCCTTAAAAACAGAACTGACAGATTAAAAATTTGACAGTTGTTTTGATGGCGTCTCGGTACTATCTGTTATCTATATTTTCTAAGCGTTGAAATATAGATTTTTTGGCATATTTTCATATCCAGTGACACCAGTATTAAAATTTCCAATGGAAAAGATACAGCGGTTTTAGTTTATAAATGATTACAAATCACGTGACCAGTAATTTTGTTTGGAACAGTAATTTTATTTCCTTCACTTTGGCAATTAAATTTCTTTAAAATTAAAACAATGAGATAAAGATTACATTAAAACGCAACATTCTGTTTCACCAGCTGGTGATTGGTGTAATTTTTCACGAGATTCTATTCAATCAATCAGGAATCGCATTATCTTGAGCGTAGACGTAATGGTTTGTCTTTGGTTATTGTAAACGAATCAATAATATTGGTGACGCTAAGATTTAGGGATTTTCAGTTTGCAGTACTAACAGTGTGTTGTTAGTTGCATAAGCGCGACAGTCACGTGGCTTGTAAACATTTATTTATGATTGTTGAAAAATTTGATGAATCTATTATATGCAAAAAAATATTACAGTATTTAAATTATACTGAAAATTGCTGTAAGGAACTTTTGCATTTGGTGACTAATGCATAATTTTTATTTAAACATTGGATTGTCATGTCGATTTGTTATTTTCACGGATGGCGTTTTCTTTTCAGTGCATTTAACATATTTTTAATGATATATTTATGTGAAATGAGGTGGCTTAGACAACTAGGGAATTGGTAGATTTTCTGTTTTAAGAAATATTCCAGATGTGTATGTAAAAAATGTGAAAGAAAAGTTGCACATATTTTGTAAGATGCCAATAAAAGCTCAGAATTTTGGCAGAAATAGTGTATTGATGAAAATAGGAATGGCAAGGGCAGGACAAGGCCATAAAATTTTTTTATTAATACATTTCAAAGTTTCTGGTGTATCATGTAAAAAGATGCATATTTATTTAATACTTTTCTTCCTATTTCGTATAAAAAGTTAGAGTTTAAAGTTTTCTGCAACACCAGCAAAACTGTTATAATTCTTTTGAGTCAAAATCAAATTTGTAAATCATTGTTTCTTCCATACCTGAAAAATGAAGAAGATTTACGCTACCTTTCCGTTTAATTTTGAATCAAGTTCCAGCTAATCACTATTAGAAATGTATTTTAATCTTGAGGGTATAGTAATAGGTAAATATATGTCGGGTTTTTCGCAACAGATATTTTTGTGTTTAAAATTGTACTTCTGCAAAAGTATTTTTCGCTATGTTATGGGGCAATAAGGTAAAGACCTGGAGTGTATAAATTATAGTGATTATTAATCTTTTATATACAAATCTAGACTTTGTTTCCATTACAGTTTCAGCTAGTGATGACAAAACATTGAAGATTTGGGAATTGTCCTCTGGGAAATGTTTAAAAACACTTAAGGGGCACAGTAACTATGTTTTTTGTTGTAATTTTAACCCCCAGTCCAATCTAATCGTGTCAGGATCATTTGATGAGTCAGTAAGGATATGGGATGTGCGAACAGGCAAGTGTCTTAAAACTCTGCCAGCACATTCAGATCCTGTTAGTGCCGTTCATTTCAATCGTGATGGGTCCCTCATTGTTAGTAGCAGTTATGATGGTCTTTGGTGAGATACTTTTGCAATGTTTGTTGAAAGATATAAGAAATCTTTTGATATACTAAAATAACCATTTTTCACTGTACTTTTTAGTCGTATTTGGGACACAGCATCGGGCCAATGCCTAAAAACCCTCATAGATGATGACAATCCGCCAGTGTCTTTTGTAAAATTTTCACCAAACGGAAAGTATATTTTGGCTGCTACCTTAGATAATACACTGAAGTTGTGGGATTACGCCAAAGGCAAATGTCTGAAAACTTATTCTGGTCATAAAAATGAAAAATACTGCATCTTCGCGAATTTTTCTGTTACTGGAGGAAAGTGGATAGTTAGTGGTTCCGAGGATAACATGGTGTATATCTGGAATTTGCAGACAAAAGAAATAGTGCAAAAGTTACAAGGACATACAGGTAATATTTATAGCATAAAAGGTATACATAATGCATTTTTGAGTAGTCTTTATTTAGTTTTTTTTTAATTCAATGGGGAATGATTGTTTATTTGGCTCTTTTGAGAAATTAGAACAAAATAGGAAAAAACCCTTTTACTTCTAATAAATGATAAACTTGGTCCTCTTTTAAATTAACATTCCTTTATACGATCCTGAGTGGTGCTGCCATCTGACAACCGACATCCCTATCATAAAGTTGAACTTTTTGACGGTATACTTACGTTCTGGTGTACAGGTACTATTTGCATTGTTTACAGTGACTTGAAAAGTTTATCTCGGCTAAAAAATGGAATTAAGTCATGAATATTTCCATGCAATTATTTTTTACAACTTTTGATGTGGAATTATCTCAACAAGAGTGCATCGACGAATTTAATTCAACTTTTGGCAATGAAGCAGTCAAAAACCACTGTATATGGGTGGTATAGGGTACTCAATCGTACCCGTGATTTGCTCACTGACGTATTTCATGAAGATCGTCCAAAATCAGTTCTGGTTCCAGAAAACATGGAGTTTGTGCGTGAACTGATATTGCAATATCGTCAATCGTCATGTGACATTTTTCGTGAGATTGAGGCATCTTTGGGCATTAGTGGGACCAGGATACATTCAATATTGCAGGCACATTTGGCTGTCAAAAAAAAATTATTCGCGTTGGATCCCACATAATTTGGCAAATGCTTAAAAAATGGCTTGTGTCGATAGGTTGAAAGAAATGCTCCAAAATATGATGCCGGTTTAGTAAACATTAAAAAAAAAGTATCAGAAAAAGATGAGAAATTTTGCATTAAATTGTTAATAACAATGAAAATTTTTAATCAATCCAAAAACTGCCTACTCCCTTTCCTGAATTACGTTATTGTGAACCTTCGTAAAATTTTATGTCGATTCGTTGAAAACTTTTTGAGTTATGTTTCCGGTCAATTAAAAAAAGTATTTTTCCTATATTCTTCACATACTAAAAGCATCATTTAAATCACTTATCCCAAAAGCTATATTCTCAAAATTCTGGTTTTGGTTTGTTCTATTTATAACCCTACTGTATACAGGGTGATTCAAAAAACCGTTGACAGACTTCTAGGGTAGGTAATAGTGATGTAAAATAGCATGCTATTTAGTTTTGGGTGATATATATCAAAATATATATCATTATATATATCAGATGAATTTTGTTTAAAAAAACTATATTCAAATTAGTTTTTTTATATTGCTAATGCCTTGCTGATTAATTTGACACCAAATACATGCCATATATATGAACTTTAAGAAAAGTTATCAAGTGATCGTTATTTTTTTTTTCATATTTAGATTGGAATTTTATATTTTTTTTATCATACTGACTTCTAATTTTTGTTGCGTGCTACTGACTGTTTATAAGCAAGTACGCTGTTTATTAGGAATTTAGTTTTATCAACCCAGAAATAAAAAATGGGAAATTTCTAGAACAAGAAAATTTAGTCTTTGTATATCACAATACGTACTTAAAAAAAATTAAAGATAAAAATTGAAATAAAAATTATCAAAAACTTATGATAATAAAGAAACTGCTTTAAAGTAGTACTTAAAAATCTGAAAATTTAGGGGTGTACTATAAATGGGGAGACCTAAGAGCGCACGTAATTTCAACTCACCCCTTCCACCCTAGGGGGTGGGGTGAAGGTTTTTTTTAGACGTACCCTATTTATTTTGCGATTTTCGGATTGTACGCGTAAAACTACCCCCAGAAACGCGTTCTTGGGGGTACGTCTAAAAGACCACCCTTCACCCCCTCTGCACCTACTAAGGTGGAAAGGGCCAGTTGAAATCAGGTTCGCTCTTAGGTCTCCCCACTTATAGTACACCCCTAAAATTTCAGATTTCTATATTTATTTTTGAAGGAGAAAAATGCTCATCGAAAAAACGACAAAATCCATACGAGGGTGGTGGTTTAGTTTTTGTGCGAATTCGGCAAGAACGCGCTTTCGGGGGTAGTTTTACGGATAGAATCCGAAACTCGCAAAATGAGTAGGGTACATCTAAAAAAACCACCCGTCACCCCCTAGGGTGGAAGGGGTGACTTGAAATTACGTGCGCTCTTAGTTCTTCCCATCTATAGTACACCCCTAAAATTTCAGATTTTTATATTCATTTTTGACGGAGATATTCCAGGTACCCAAGAGCTACTACAGTCCAAATCAAGCCTACCACACCACAAGTTTTTAGTTTTAAAATGTAAGGTTATGTTTGAAATTTGGCTTTATTCATGAAATGGCGGGAAAATTGATATATATCAGCAAATATAATAGCTGATATGTATCAAAAATTGATATATATCAGTTTGTTATATATTTTCACTCACATCACTAGTAGGTAATATATGAAAAATTAAGACGAAAAGTCTAAATAAACATAGGGTCACAAATGCCTCCTTAACGAGATACAGGGCATCAAAGTTTCTGTAAAATTAAACATTGTCTGCAATAATTCCAAAATGCCTCAATATATCTATTTCAAATTTGCTATGCATAGTTAGCACCTTAAGATCAATGTTTGATGTATTGCTCAAAATTTTATGAGCAGCAGTGTCGTAGAGACGGCGTCAACGTGACCCTTTTTTAAAAATATTTTCTACGCCACTGCTAATTTTGTCAAACGGTCACTATTTTTGTGTAAAGTGTTCAATTGTCAATCAAATTGGTCTCTTGCAAAATTTTGATTAAAGCTACAGTTTTTGAGTAATTTGGGATTCAACTAATTTTGTCAGAATGGAATAACGTAAACAATAAACAACAAATTTAAGGGTGAAAACGTAATGATAAAAATTGTGCAACTGGAAATAATGTAAAATATCAGAGTAGGTGCTGGAAGTGACCACCTTGTGATTCCATATATGTTTCTACTCTCCGAGATAAGGATGTTCTTATTCTTTAAAAAATCCCGGGCGTATTACGAATTGTTTGAAAAGCTTGTTGAATTCGTTGCCATAATTCATCAATCGAATTTACTGGAGTTATTTAAATCAGCTTTTTAACATGATCTCAAGTGTGGAAATCCAGAGGATTTAAGTCTGGTGAACAGGCAGGTCATTGGATTCACCATCTAGGGTATGTCATATTTAAATAATCTCTTACTTGTTGAGCGAAATGTGCCGGAGCACCGTCATGGAACCCAAGGCTCCTCCGCACATCCAGTGGTACTTCATCTAACAAGCTGTTCAAATAATTCATTAAAACATTAAGGTAAGACTGGCCATCTAGTCTATTTGGTAGCCTAAAAGGACCAATGCGTGTGTCGCCAATAATGCCCGCATGAACGTTAATTGAAAACTCGTGCTGAAAATTTGTTATTCAAATGACATGAGGATTATTGCCGCTCCATGAAATGATTATTGCGGAAGTTAATTATTCCTCGTCTCGTAAACAATGCTCCATCTGTGAAAAAGATATTCGCGAAGAAATTGGGATTCTCTGCAAGTCTGCCAAGCAGCCATCATGACCACTCTAGTCTTGGTGGGTAATCTTGAGGTAGTAAATGTTGAACACATTGAAAATGATAAGGGTGCAATTGTTGTTCGCGAAGTGTTCTCCAAACAGATGACTGTGATACTTAACATATTATTATTTTCTATTGCTGTCGAGACCATTTCCTCAGATTCCGGAGTTCAAGCATAACGCCGTTGTCCAATATTAATTTTTGTTGCTTTTAATTTACCCGTTTCTATTAATCTTCTAGCGATATTATCAAACATTTGCCGATTTGGTGTTCTTCGTGCAGGAAACATTTCTCTGTACCGCCTAAATGCATCACGGGAAACGAAATTCGCTATCCCATAACATAGATGCATATCTGTCATCTCTCCAAATGAATATTCGTAATTGATATTGTTATTGAAAATAGTGAAGTAGCTGACAAGCTAGCCAGGAGCGCATCGGGCCTCAACATTTTTGGACCCGCCCCCTCCAGTGTGCTTCCGTTGTCGGCACTTGTTGGAATTATCAAGGAAGGCACCCACAAAGAATTTATGAAACGGTGGGATGAAACAATCAGCTGTCACTTTGCTAAGGAGTTCTTAGTGTATCCTAGCAAAAACACAGCCAAAAAATACCTGGCTATGTCTAAGTCAAATCTTCGCATGGTGACAGGTATTCAAGCTGGACACTGTTGGCTAAGGAAACACCTTTACAATATGGGGAAGTGTGAAACACCTCTTTGTAGGGGCTGTGAACAGGAAGACGAGACGGTGTTGCATTTACTATGTAAATGCACTGCCGTCTCGTCAATAAGAGAGTCCATGTTGGGAGAACGCTGGCCTTCAATGGCCTATATTAGAGAGACCCCCCTGAGCAACGTTACCACCTTTTTTACTGTAGTAGGCTGGTTGTCGGCTCAGGTGGATTGATCTCTCTAATGGGAGGATGTACAAGGGGCCCAATGGGGCCTAAGTGCTGTAACTTTGCTACCCTCCCCACAATTCCAGATTCCAGAATAGATAACATTTTGACAAATTTGAACAAACATCTGATCCAACGAATGGAAATATGGCTACACTGTATGCTATATGTAACACTTCGACTGACGCGCTATATTTGAATAGCTCGATTATAGACTATAAAATTATTCCAGTCGAAAACATAGGTAGCAATAATTAATATTAAATAAATTTTTCGTGATCTAATGCAATATAATAACGATTTGAAACAAAAATTGAAAGGATGTCTTTGCAAAATGAACAGTATAGATGTTCTGTCATAATCTTAAATTTGACAAGGCAACATCTCACTATCATACACTGAGTTTCTTGATAGTTATCATATGTATTCTCGGTTTGCACATTTTACTTTTTTCTCATCAATTCACATTGTATCTGTTTCATACGCCTTTTATACTGCTTTTCCTTTGTATCTTGGATGTTCATTAATGTTTACCGAATACGTGCAAAGCACAGTTGACAGTAATGACAGTTGACCCAACTTTTACCACCGCGCCATGGCAATGTTGCCAGATTTCATCCATCATTTTACAAGCTCAGTGAATAAATAGACACTTTTATTCAAATAAAAAGTTAATTGCCGTGCATTAAACATGAAAAATATATACAAGCTAAAATGTGTTGTATAAATTTTGTTTGTATATATTATATTTAGTTCGCTCAAATTAGTTTATGTGAAGTTGGTACTACAACGAAACTACCGTGTATAAGCATAGGCATTCCTCTCGCACCGCTTGCCCCGCAAGAGATGTATCGAACCTCCTTAAGGTGCTAACTACGCCTAGCAAATTTGAAATAGAAATGTTCAGGCATTTTGGAATTATTGCAGACAATGTTTAATTTTACATTTTACTATGTTTATCAAGACTTTTCGTCTTAATTTTTCATGTGTTAAGTACCCTGGAAGTTTGTCAGCGGTTTTTTTAATTACCCTGTATATGGTATATAAGTAGTGGAAATCTAGTTATAAGTTTAGTGCAAATTCAGTTTGATTCTTTCCTTTGCAGATGTAGTTCTTTGCACGACCTGCCATCCAACAGAAAACATAATTGCATCGGCAGCGCTAGAAAATGACAAAACTATAAAACTATGGAAAAGTGATACTTAGATTTAATTTTCTTGTCACTTTTGTACATTTTGATATTGTAAATTTGATGCAGAGATATAAAGTTAAAAGTATTTTGTAGGTAAGTTTGTAACTTTTTAGGTTTTCCCGCTTAATAATTTATAGACTCGTTCATTTGTACAGCAAAATTTTACTACATATAAGATATATTTTTGAATACATATGACGAATAATTGTTTCCAGTTATTCATCTCAGATATAAGGAACTACTGTTTTGCTGTGTATTTATAATAAATATTATTTCTTTAATTGTTATTTAAGCGTTTAGTGAAACATTGTAGTGGGTCTTTGTTTTAAAGAACATTTATGGATTTTAGTTTTTAATAGATAGCACGTTTCTGTTTCAAGGGAAGTTTTTTTTAGCCATGTTTAGTAATAATGCTTTTAAATAAAATTTTATACATTTTTTTGTTGTAATATGTCATGCATATTGTGCCAATTCTTGCAGAGGGTAGATTTAATGGAAATTAAAGCATTGCACTGTTATAAGAAGAAATGAACGTACATATTTCTATTAAATTTATTTTTTGGATTTTGTACATTATCTTTGCAATTAAATTTTTTAAATCAAAGATCTACTAACTATTAAAATAATTTTATTTATTAGATTTTTGCACTGTAATTTATTCATTAAATTTTTTTGTTGGTTATCTACTTTAGAAAAAGTAGTTTCACTATTTAAAATATGTTTATTAATTTTTGTCACTGCTTAAAAAGAGGCTCATTTTCTGTTACAGCGTGAAAGCGTGACAAAAATAGTATTAGTCTTTGCTAGAGTTGTAGCGGGAGATTTTGTTATAATTATACAGGGTGTAGCAAAAGTACCGGAACGGCAGAATAACTCGGCGGGAGAGCATTTTAGAGAAAAATGTTAAAAGTTTCAGGATTTCTCCCTGGCTATCCGATCTTGACCTTGAAGATCATTTCAAGGTCAAATATGATTTTTCAAATGGGACTATACTTTTGACACCAGAAATGAAGAGCGGAAAAGTTTACGTTCAGATATGACCTTGAGTGACACCTCCCTTTTGACCTTGGCCCCCCCACAAGGTCAAACTAACAAAAGTACAGGAATAGCAGAATGACTCGGCGGGAGAGCATTTTAGAGAAATATGTTACATACAAAAGTTTCAAGATTTCTCCCTGGCTATCCGATGGTGACCTTGACACTCAAGGTCATATCTGAACGTAAAATTTTCCGCTCTTCATTTCTGGGGTAAAAGTATAGGGTCCCATTTGAAAAATCACATTTGACCTTGAAATGATCTTCAAGGTCAAGGTCACCATCGGATAGCCAGGGAGAAATCCTGAAACTTTTGTATTTAACATTTTTCTCTAAAATGCTCTCCTGCTGAGTTATTCTGCCATTCCAGTACTTTTGCTATACAATGTATGTCATCTTAAAAGTTCAAAACTAGTATATTTATATCAGTTTTGTTTTAAAGATATAATTTAAAGTGTGCAATTATTTAGGCATTATTGTAATATGTTTTTGAGCTTAATTTACCGACATACTTTTATATTGCAACTTAATTCTAAATTATCACCTTTAGTATTTTATGTAGTGGGAGGGACAAACCTTTAAAATTATTATTTTTGAAATAGTTTATTGGTTAAAATATGAAAACTAAACTGTATTTGTAAATTGTGAAGTAAATAATTTGTTCTTTGTATATTACGTAAAATTATATGAAGTCTCCCATAGTAATCTTGTAACAAAATTTGTACATGTTTGTACATATTTAAAAATATTTCATTGCACACACTGAGAATATTTATAAATTTGTAGACTGTTGATTCTAATTTTCAGTACAAATTGTATTATTTTTTTAAATAAACTTAATGAAGTAAAGTAATATTTTTTGCCCTTTTATACCAAACATGTACTTGCCATAAAAGTACTGTGATGTTGAATAAATTCTCGCTGTTTCGTGAAAATTAATGCTTTGTTTTAAAAAAAAATAAATAAAAAAAACTTGCCACTGAAAGTATTGTCCATTGCCAGCAGCGCCGTAACAAGGTATAGCCAGAGTAGGCACACGCCTATGGGCGCAAGCTGCTAGGGGCGTATGGAAAGGAGTTAAACAAAAATTAAAAAAATATTTTTGCAAAAACATTCTGGGAATTTTTGTAAAATCCTTATATTGAAATTGTAGGATTTTCAACCTTTACATCGCTGGACTACTGTAGTCTAGCATCATTCGCGTTGTAGGCTGTGTCTCTCCATGTAGCCTCAGGCGATTCCGAATACTGAAACCCGATGTTAGTATTTACGTTTTTGAGATAGTGTTTACATTAGTTCTTCAAGTACCAAAATGGTGAAGCAAGACAACATTTGTGTTAGTATGTAGAGACTGGGTAAGACGGGCCCAAATGTGTTTACACATCGGTGGACAAAATTTTTAACAGTTGTAACATCAGGTGTGTCAAATTATTTTATTAACTAAAACCACAAATTAATTTTATCAATTAATAATAACAATAGCGGCAAAAGCAGTTGAATTTGCTGATATAAAATAGGTGTTATAAAATTTGATTTATTGGGAAAGAAATTCTTTCAATTTTTTGTTCGTTTTTTTATTACACTTTACCACCGGTCGCCAACTGCTTGCTTTGCCTTGCTTAAAATTAGGTTTTACAGTGGACCAGATTCCAGTGCCGTGCAGAAGTGTATTTTTAAATCATTTTCGAACTGCCCTCTTTGATTTTTTACAAAATTGTATTTGTAAGTCTCGTATCATTCTAAAATTTTTTTTGGATAACTTCTGAATCACCTGAATTCTGGATTATTAGTAGATTTTCTTTTTACAAATAAGTACTTATGTACTTAATATTTTTTTGTTTCTGTTATTATGTTATTTTTTATTTATATTTATTATTTACTTAACCAAAAAATGCAGTTTTATATTTTGTTGTGACTGTGAAGTTTGTTTATACAGGGTTATCTAAAAGTCCCGTTACGGCAGAAAAACTTTCAAAGAATGCAATTTGGGAAAAAATGTTTCAGACAAAAGTGCAAGGATTTTTCCCCTGGCTATCTGATGGTGACCTTGGATTTGACCTTGACTTTGACCTTCAAGGTCATTTGAAGGTCAAGTTACGATTTTTAAATGGGAACCCCTATTTTTTATTGCGGATTTGGAAATAGTAGGAAATTTTACGTCCAAATAATAAATATGGTCTTAACCATGATTTTGAAAATGACCTTCAAGGTCAAATGTGAGTCTAGTTCCAAAAGTCCCAGTACGGCAGTACTCCCGACCAATTAAGGCAAGGTGGTGTGTATACCCGACCAATTAAGGCAAGGTAGCATGTAGTGCCGACCAATTCTTATGTCCATCTAGGAATCTGCCAAAATATTGATAGAGAACATTTTGACCACAGGTTGTAAGCCTTGTCTTAACTGGCCGAGATTGTTAGCCATTCCTTAACTGTCCGGGATCACTAGCTACCCTACAGTTACTGAAATTTTTTAAAATTATTGAAAAATCTTTCTAAATTGACCTTCAAATACTGGTTTAAGGCCAAGAGTACATTTGTTTTTCCGTTCTTCCTAATTTATCAAAAAATAATAGTTAATGTAAATAAATTAACCTGGTCTTTGACATGACCTTGAGGGTCATTGTCAAAGTCGTAGTTAAGGTCGTACTTGAAGGTTAAATTTCAGCTCTTTCCAAATCCATAATAAAAAATTGTCAAAGTCATGGTCAAGAACATTTTGAGACGTAAAATTTCCTGTTCTTTCCAAATCCGCAATAAAAAATAAAATGACTTGAAGGTCAAAGTCAAGGACAAATCCAAGGTCTGGAACATTTTTTCCCAAAATATATTCTTCAAAAGTTTTTCTGCCGTACCCGGACTTTTGCAATAGAATGTTTGTTTTTTGAGTTTTTGCGTATTTTTCATTACACATTTAGTTTAACAATTGAGTAGAGGCGCAAAATTAAAATCTTGTCAAGTCACTACTTTTCCCCGTGTCTCTGGCAGCATTTTAATAAAAACAACACGTCTTTTGAGACTATCCATGAGTCGACCCATTTTTTGTCATCTTCATAAGAATGGAATTGTTGCTCAGCCAGGCCATGTGCCATCGATCAAAACAAATGATAATCGGAAGAGGCAATGCCTGGTGAATATGGTGGGTGGGGCGTTCCCATTTAAGCGTTTCCAAGTAAGTTTTCACCGTATTGCCGATTAGGCGAAAAATGGATAAATAGCCGTGACTATGAAAAAAAAATACCATTTTAAAGTAAATTTAATTAGCTAATACACTAACCTAAAGGATTTTGTTAAAATTAATTATTTAACTTTTTGCAAAAACAATGAAAAAGCTTTTGTAAATATGTCCGCTATTTTGTTAATAAATTTTTTTATACTTTTAAATTAGGTTCATGGACGTGTTATAATAACAAAAAACTTCAATTGGTATGTTTCAGAATGTTACAGCGGTTGTGAAACGTGGCATAAATGAAGAGAGAAAAAAAGTCTACTTCATCTGCTCAATGCGCTTCAATTAATTTATATTTTATCATAGAATTTTTTTTATGTTTTCTTAAACTACATATAAAATGTCAAAGTTTCAAATAAAAATATTGTATAGTTTTCTCAAAAAAAATTCCTGAAGTTCACATTGATTTTTTGCAGTCTATATGAGGATGCTTTCAAATGTTTCGAAACTATTGTGTGATCAACTTTTAATGTTTCTGCAAGTTCAGCTAGCGTCTGACATTCCAATTCTTCATCTTCAAACTGTTTCAGTACACCAGAGCGTTCTTTATCTTCAATATCAAAATCATTGTTTTTGAAGAGTCTAAACCAATCTCTATATGTTGTTTGTGACAGAGCATGGTCGCCGTAAGTCTCAACAAGATGTGTGCTTCACCTGCTGATTTCTTTTGAATAAAGTGGTGCAGTAAAATTCCCCGCAATTACTCTTTTTTCGGCACAAAATTCGACATATTTAACACTGAAAAAAAGTAGTTTACGCTTCGGCGATATTACATACACTGAATTTCAAGCTTGCTTATAGGTAGTTATTCTTTATAGATGTGTTACCATCTTAAACTACACATTTGCAGTTCTGTTAATGCCGTCTGTTGCAAATCATCAAGAACAATCAATGTCCCATTAATTTCCAGTAAATGATTAAATATTTCCTTTTGTCTGTGTTTGGAAAATAATGTGCTGGGCCTTGGCATGCTCCAACATACTAAACCGTACCATGCTACACTTTGCCTTGTCATGCCTTAGACTCTTAGACAAATGAGCCACCAGCTTACAATTATAGTCTATATTGTACTAGCGCAGCCAATCAAAATGACTTGATTTAATAAACAGATTCTGGTTGACTGCACTGCTATGTGATTTTTTGGATATGTTTGTGCTGGTAATTTCAAAAAAATACTTGTGTCCCCGCTAGTTATAAGGTTTTGACAATCTGAAAGAATATTGAATCAAACACATTGAAACTATATTTTATTGTTAAGTTTTAAATTAACAATAAATAAATATACCATTTACAATATAGCAATATAGAAATAGAAATATTGATATGACAGTCAGTAACAATGAGTTTTACTAATTAGAAATTGCTAGATATAAAAAAAATAATTAATGACTAATATTGCATGATGACGTATACATAAATTAAATGTATGCCATTTTTTAAGAGACTAGTAAATACACATCTAATGCACTTATTTTTATTTAAAAAGAAGTGACAAAGTTGCGGTAGAATTTTTGAATAATATGATTTTTTTTTATACCAACGCCATAGCCTGAAGAAAAATAAAAAATAAATTGTTCAGGGAAAAAATTAATTACATTAAAACTGAAAAAAGAAAAAAGTGCTTTCTTGTTTTCTTTCATTTTCCATTACTCTGAACATTCAGAAAGTTTTGCCTGACAATCCAATTTTTACCTCAAAACCCACGGAGTCTTTTGTCATATAAAATATATTTTTCTTCCATATTATTATAAACAAATTTTTTAGTATTTGAAATTTCCTGAAATTATATAAATATTTTTTATGATGTGTGACGGAAAAGAATTTTAAGGATACTATGTAGTTAAAACTAGTAATTTTAAATAATTACACTGTAGATGGGTATTTACTAGATCATTTTTGACTCGTTTACATGAAACATTTATACACTGATGGCATTTTAATTTTCTAAGTTACAATATCACATTTTAAAGAGTTTTCTAACATATTAAATATATATATTTGTCTACTAGAAAGAATTTGATTTAAATTTTAAACAATTTAAAACTTGAATCAAATTCAACTTCATGTTAATCTATATGTCTATAATTTATATTTTCTATAAATTATATTTTACAAAATAAACAGAAAAATTATTTGTAAATGGAAGGGGCGAGAATATAGAAATTGATTGTTTTAATTGTTCCACATTTATATGTATACAGGGCGTTTCTTTAACATTGCGAAAAACAGTGATTCCATGCCAAAGAGTAAGGGAGCCCTCTATATACCTTATTTCCAAAAATGTCTGCTATCAAAGTTGCACTCTCTTAAAAAGGGATGTTAAAATTCAGTTTTTATTTTGTCAATTAGAGAATAAACGTAGAAGAATGCAATGTAGGATACTACTTTATATTTTATCAAAGTTTTTCCTCATCAATATATTTAATCAATTGTGACCTTAGAAACAGGTTGAACGTTGCAACCCTTAATGGTTTTTTCATTGTATTTTTTTACAAAATAAAAAATTTGCATTTAAAAAATGGCATTAAAATTTTGATTCAGAAACTTTTATAACTAGCATTTTTTTGCACTAAAATGTTCCATATTTTAGTAAATAACGTACATATGCATTACAAAAACCAGATTGTGTACAGATTTCCTTCTAAATAATTATTCATCAAAGATTTGGGAAACTACGACATTGCTTATTAAAATGGTAAACAGAGTGAGTTGTGCAATATGCATGTTTATGGTCTTGCTAATGGAATGCATCAGCAGGAAATTTTAAAAAACGTACTGCTGAAAATGGGCACTATCAAACAGTTACTCCTCAAATGGAAGAACAGGTAACCCTACGACAAGCACGAGAAAGATTGCTACACATTAAATATTATGCATGGAGTGGCTCTGTGGGGATGGATGCAAGAAAGAATATAGCACAATAGCTTTCAAAGGGGCATAATCCTGATAGCAAACAATTTAGGAAATAAGTTTATATGGCAGTCTCTCTTACCTTTTGGTAAGGAATCATTTCTTAAAGTTTTCTACAATATTTAAAAAACCTGTATCTTTGACTACTTGAAAAGAACAAATAATCAAGACCAAATGTATTATGCTTGGTATAAAAAAAAAATGTAATGTATACTTTGTTTATAACTTTCTTATTTGTAGTTCATAAGGGAGTTTTATAATTGTTGTAGTTTTTGTGTTCACGTAAACACTTAAAAAAAATATCAGGTAATTTCATAGGCTAGCACATCTTGTTTTCAGCATCGTTGAGAAAACTTTAAAATTTACTACAATCCACAACAGTATTTTATTTTCGTTTCGTATATACTTTTTTTATATAGTAGAACTCTTGAAATAAGTACAGCGCTGAACATTAAAAAGTTTCTAATCTAAACTGTTTTTGCTACTTTATAAAACAGGTTTTTATCAATTTTGTATTTTAAACCCCCTTTAAACATATTAGTTTGAAAACTTTTTCAGTCCGCAGCAGTAGGTAGTTAATATTATGAAATTTTAGACATTGGTTTTGAAGTAAAAAGTAAAACATATTCATTATATTTGATTTTTCAGTATTAAAAAATATGTAAAATCATAACTATTTGACTAAAAAATTACAGGGTGATTCAGAACTTATCATAAAAAAAAAATTCTGGATGTACAGGGGACCCTTACAAATACAATTTTGTAAAGAAAAAATCAAAAAGGGCAGTTCGAAAATGATTTAAAAATACACTTCTGCACGGTACTGGAAACTGGTCCACTGTAAAACCTGACCTTGCACAATGCGACTGGCATGGCGGTGTGATAAAAACGGACAAAAACTTTCGCATGGAAAGAAATATGTAAATAGAATTTTATCGCACCTATTTTATATCGGCAAATTCAACTGCTTTTGCCTTTATTAATTAATAAAATTAATTTGTGTTTTTAAATAATAAAATCATTTGACATACCCGATGTTACAACAATTGTTCAAAATTTTATCCACCAAGGTGTAAACACATTTGGGTCCGTTGTACTCAGTTTCTATGAACTAACACAAATGTTGTCTTGTTTCACCCATAAATTAAAATGATATCCATCAACTCCGAGTACACGCAAACCATTTTTGACACTAACTACTAAAAACCTATTGTAAACACCACAGATAACAGATAAATATCGCAACGACGATTGCAAAATCCGATTTCAGTATTCGGAGTTGCTGAGGCCACGTGACGAGTGACGCTAGAGACTACAGTTGTCCAGCTATGTAGTGGTTGAATGTACTATAACTTCAATATTTTTTTTTCTCGGAAACTATAAGGATTTTACAAAATTTTTTTTACGATATCAATTCCATTTTTCATGCTGCATCTATTCCCAAATTTTTTTAGATAAGTTGTGAATCGCCCTGTATAGAATGTAAACAAAAACTTTTTTTGCATACCTACACTTTACACTGCTATTTCGCAAATCCTGCAAAATTACGTAGCTGAAACTTGACTTCTAATTTTTACTTAAATTTGGTTATTTTAATGAGTATAAATCTAAAATTTTATTCTTAACTTTATTAATACTGGTTTTTATTATCTATAAGATGACATCATATATGAAGTTTACTTTACTATATGTGAATATGAAAATAATATCTTTAGATAGATTCCTATTTCCTATGTCTAGTGAAAGTAAAAAATACATCAAATAGGTACTAATATTTCCTAGAATCTGGAAGAGATCTGTTTCACAATTGTGATACCTAAATTTTTACTTCTAATAACTCCATATACAAATAATTTTTGCAAGGACACTGTATCTAATAATCCTGCCCTAAAGATCACGTCAGTTCATACTGCTTCCTATGCAGTGAATTCATTTCGTTCTGTTGATTACTTTTAACGACAATGGGAATCGTAACACTACTCTGATAATTTCTCGGAGGTCCCCTATACACAGACTGTTGTTGGTGTTGTGCCAAGACTTGCTCCCTAGCCTCTTTGTATTGCTGATATTGCATCGTGTGGTGGTTCATAAGCTGTTGCTGCAGGAGCTCTCCATTCGTATAAACAGATTTGGCGACAGCTACAGGTGGTCCATAGAATTTATGTGTCGGAGAGTATGTTGCAGGTTGTTCGTAAGGAATGTGTTTTGGGGAACTGTTGACATAGGTTTTTATAGGGCTCCCATGTTGGTTGTAACTTGGGTATTGTCTAGGTGGTGGTTGGTAGGTTGGTTGACTGGTATACATGGGGCTGATTGCTTGATATTGCATGGCAGAAGGGTAAGCTATTTGGTGGGAAGGACTTTGGGAGATGTAGTTGGCATTGTTGTAATTCACTTGTCTGTAGGCTACTTGAGTGATGCCGTATGATTGGTGGATTACGCTTTGAGGGATCTGGAACAAATTTAAAATTAGGTAAGTAACTATGCCTCTCAAGATATGTTATTTAAACTCAAAATTTTGAAGACTAAAGACTTGTAGTCATTACTAATACTACAACTTCCTACTGGAGTTTTATACACATTACAGAATTAAAAATCCTACATTTTAATGGAAATATTTTTCAATATTGTTTTAGTACATGAACCGGTGACAAAAACCATGCATTTGACTTTTTGGTCAATTATTTCTTCGATCGACTTTTGAAATAAAATTCTAGTAAATAAATTCTTTTAACCAATTTTTCAATACTGTTTTAGCAGTAGAAACAGATCAAGTTAATCTTATTATAGGTACCTTATTCAATTCATTATTGGTAACACCAACAATTACTTAGTCTAACTTTGTACACAAAATTCTAAATCCTAATGGAAAAATATTTATTCCCTTGGGTTTAAAAATTCGTCTGTATAATTTTTCAGATACTTATTTTTTTGTTTTTAAATAATTGTATTTTAATTTTGTATTAGGTTAATGTTGTAGAACATAAAGCGTTAACTTCGAAATATTCCTCACACAAATGCATCAAAGGCGGGCTACCACAATACGCCTAAGCAGCTCTACAAGCAGAAAAAAAAAATGCCAAAATCACCGATCTTCCGAAAAATGTCATCGACCTTTCGAAAACTCTACCGTCGAGCCACCAGGACGACAGCGAGTAGGCGTAGCCACCAGACCAGGCAAGAATGCAAACGTCGCGGGCCGAAACGAAGTGTCACTGAACCAATCCATGCAATCACTGCAGCAACTGTTCTACCGGGATCCACACTGCCGGCGATTGAACGCGCACCCACGACAATTGCAGTCTTGTTATTTCTCAGCTAAAAAATACACAAACCTCGAGCTCTAACGCTCTCCGTCAGCTCTACGCTGCACCAAGCTTTAAAAAAAGCCTCATATGACAGGCACTCCAAAAGGATCCCGTACATAATGAATTAAAAAACAGTGAATCAAAGACTGTGATTTACAGATACCAGGGTATCAGACCCGAACCAAGTGCATGCAGGCTGACACAAAAGTCCGAACCCCGGATCAAATTAGTGAAGTGCTCCAATTCGCCGATTCGGCCGATCTGGGCATATTGAACTCAGAACGATGGCGGAGGATGGGAAATCTCACTTCCCCTCGATGATGGACGTAAGACCGCACATCAAGAGGGAGAGGAACGAAATGCCAGGGCCCCCGATCAGGCGTCCAACGCACTGACACCGGAGCTGAAGAGGGACCCTGGACAACTCGATCCTTCCCGTCCCATCATACGGGTCTTGAACCCAATGATGATGCTCAGGGGAAAAGCTGACCGGTCTCAACAGCCGGGACCAACCCAGGAGGCAACCAACACACCTCCACGACATGGCGCTTATCGTGGGGCCATGTTGCGGGACGAAATTGAAGCTAGCCATTAAATTATTAAGTGTTCTCTGTAATGATATTTCCTAATGTCTATCCCCTGAAATCAGCAATTTTTTTTCACTCTAAGAAAAATTGCAAGGGTATTGTACTTTAACTGCTTAAAAATAATACATTTTAAATTCCGTCTTCCGTCGCAAACATACAGGAAAAATTCTGATGTAAGAAGTAAACAAAAATGTTTCCATTAGGGACTGGTAGTCTATAAAAGTACAAACGGAAGTCATATTATTATTGAATTGAAGTATGAAAATATTGGTTCTAAGAGCTAAAATAATATTGAAAATCTGATTAAAAAAATGTGTTGCAGAATTTCAGCATTAATCCAAAAGTTGTTAAAGTTTTAATGAAAATTAAAAATCACACTAAATCCCTATAAATTTATAAAAAATTATAATATACAAATATATAAAAAATATTATAACTACTGGAAGTCGAATGATACATCATTTGGAAGGTATTAGTAGGTATTCTCTTTACTGTGATATGAAAAAAATAAATCCTATAATTAAAAAAAATGGTCTCCCTAAATTTAGTAAATGAATAATTTTAACACATGCTTTTTCCTCCGATCTATTTCTCCTGGAAAAATAAAGTTGCAGCACTGACTTCATCACGGATGGTTTACGAATTTCGACGATTTATTTATTTTTTTAATTTATTCGTTGGAATATCCTATATAGAACGGAATTATAAAGCATGACTCTTGTAACAAATTATATTAATAAATTATTCAACATTTGTGGATGACAGAAGGCGAACAAAATTGGAATTTGATTATGTACTAACATGTATTATTCTGCATCTGTTAACATAACTCGTCACCATTTTGCTTTTTCTCACATAGAATAACTAAAACAATTGAATACAACAAGCACAAAGAGAAGTTTCGCTGCTAAAATTATAAGGGTAATGTAACAAAAACTCCCTAATAATTAATTTCATTCCACGAACCAGTGGCGTGCGATGATCCCCTTTTTCGAAAATAATGCCTACATCATCCAGTGATTTTAAATGTCGATTGTATTTTTGAATAAAAACAGCTCAAGTTGTTGCTATAACTTTCTTATATCAAATCAAATCATTTATTGGTGTCGATATATTATGTACCTATTTATATGTTTACACAAGTCAAAGAAAGGGAAACATGATAGATATAACATTAAAGCAATATTACACAACCTTCCTAACAAGTAAAAAACACATTCAGATAAATATGACGTAAACAGCATAAAAAATAAATACTACGAACATTTATTATAGGTAGGTATATCTAAAAACTGGTCAACAAAGAACTTATCAAAATTGTAAAACGTTTTTTTCTTAAGATATTTTCTAATTCTGGCCTTAAAACAGTCTGAATTTAGTGATCGAATCACAGATGGAAGTCTATTAAAGAATTTAATGCGAAAATAATTTGTGCCATATCTAGATTTCGCTAATCTATGATATTTTGGCCTAATATTATCTCTCTTCTATGGTGGGAATGTAAATTTTCTTATCGAACAAATCTATTCTGATTATTTTTAATATAAATGATGTATTCCAATACACTGATTGTAAGAATATTTAGCAGTTTGAAGTGCTCCTGACAATCATCTTTGTATTTTATTCCAGCCATTCTAATACATAGAGACTACACGATTCAAATTACGCAGTAGGAAAATATTCTTAGATAAAAGTGCGGATAAGTTATTAACATATTGTCCCCAACTCAATTTAGTGTCAAGGTGAACTCCAAGAAATTTAATTTTATTCGAGTTATCGCAAGTATTAATATGGCGAAGTGTAAAAAGCAAAAATTAAGTTTTGTCAATATTTAAGTTCATTCTATAGCAATAATAAACCAGTCCTTTGTCAGCGGCAGTGCATCCACTGAACCTCTTGAGAGTTCTTAAGTTATTATTTGACTTTAAAGCGATAGTATTATCGGCAAATAAAAAAAAATCAATAGATATAGGTACATCACAATTTGGGAAATCATTGATATAGATAAGAAATAGAATAGGGCCCAATACTGAGCCTTGAGGAACTCTATGAACTATTTCCGTTAGGTATGAAGAACAAGAATTATAAAAAACATACCGAGTTTTGTCCGATAGATAAGACTCCAATGACAAATAAATCGTAGTTAACTGATTAATAGCCAAAGTTGTTGACCTTTTGTTCATAAAACCGTATTGACTAGAATGGAATAAATTATTGTTTTCAAAATAAACTGCAATTTACGTTTTTAAGGCCGTTTCGAAAACCTTTGCCAGAACGGGAACAAAAGACGTTGATATTATAAATTCGGGATTAAATTCATTCATACTTTTGTTTATTTTTTTTATACGAAAATGTTATACCTACTTGGAAAATTTCAATGCATACAAAAAAGTAATTGCTGTTTATTGTTTTTGTTTTATTATACCTACTTAAATTCGTACGTATGTAAAAAGGTTATTTTGGTTATAAACTCATGTCAACCAATGGTCTCGCACTATCATTCCTTATTATTACGCCAGTGGTGGAGCATTTATATTGTAAATACATAATAAAATCTAAAAAAGGCTGTTTGTTTTATTTAGACTACTTATATGGTTCAAAGAGATTTCTGTATCAGTTTATAAAGCAATTTTTATTTTTCCCTTGAAACTGAAAATTGTTATTCAGAAGCAATCGTAAATTGGAAGGTGCAAGTCATAATGCTCATCCACATTTCAGCGTCCTATCCGCCGCCGCCGTAAAATTATTTCCGCCGACTTTTCCAAACAAAAAAAAGCTTTTATTGACAATTGCCTCTCAGGGGTAGAATTCACAAAAAACATCAAACGCCGACTAGAGTTGACATATTTATGACCTACCTGGGAGACATAAGCCCTATCAGGAGGTCTCGGCATTTCTCTTGCCACCTCTGCCGATCTCACGCCGTCCGCTCGCAGCATGGTCTGCGGCCGACGTTTAGGGGTGGCCGGGAGGGAGCTGGACCCCGCACTGGCTGTTTCCCAGTCTTTCAGGAGAGCCCTCAATCGAGCTGCTTCAGCGGCTTTTTCAGTCTCGCTTTCAGAATTGTAATCTGGTCCCTGAAATGGCCAACAAAAAGGTAAATGCATGTCAGGGGATGGAAGTAATTATTATAGAAATAATATAATAAGTGGTGCCCGGCCAGTTTGGAGACATGACGCAAATGACAGAGGTAGACCTAGGAAAATAGGTACGGGTGATTTATAATTCTTTTTTATTGAGATTTAGTTATTTCTTTGTTATTCAAATTTTCCAATGGGCAAAACGTAGAAGTAAATGTAAAAAGCAATGCGACAATCCTTGTTGTGAATTTCGATAATATAGTAAATGTAACGAAAAATTTCTAGATTCATTAAGTCGTTTGACCTTCAAAATTTAAAAATTTTTGCCTGCGCCGCTCTTTTTTTCTTTATTGCCCACCTAGTAACACAACCACGGACCTCACCTATTCACAATGTCACGAGCCGTCACTGCTACTACGTATCTTATAGGTTTTCATATACAGGGTGTAACGGATGCTGATGGCCAAACTTCAGGGGGTTATTATACAAGTAATTTTCAACAATAAAAGTATTACAAGATTTTTTTGAAAAGTTGATAGTTGATGCCCTTTTATTTAAAATTTTTTGATTTCAAAAAATTTTGTGCCTTTTTTCATAAACACAAAAATATCTGTTATTCTTACAGCCACATTAAATTTAGACATACCACCGGAAAGAGCGTTAAATTTACTACAAGACGAGCATATATGACTGTTTAAAAAATCTTCTATACCAGATGCTGTAAAAAGTTAAATGTAATAATTATGAAGTGAGCAAAATTAGTGGTAGGTATCTCGTTATTGGCAATAACGCCAAAAATTTGTCAATGAGGATGTGTTTTTTCTTCAGCAAAAACTACTGTATTTAGTAAGCTTTTCAGCGATATATCAACTTTTGAGTTTGCTATTTTTTTCTGGCAACAATATCAAGGGCAAAGGTAATAAAATCGTTTGGCGTTACCACCAATAAGGAGATACCACTAATTTTGCTCATTTCACAATTATTACATTTAACTTTTTACAGACCTGGTATAGAAGATTCTTTAAACACTCATATATGCTCGTCTTGTAGTAAATCTAACGCTCTTTCCGGTGGTATGTCTAAATTTGATGTGGCTGTAAGAATAACAGAGATATTTTTGTTTTTATGGAAAAAGGCACAAAATTTTTTGAAATCAAAAATGTTAAATAAAAGAGCAACTATCAACTTTTCGAAAAAATCTTGTAATACTTTTTTTGTTGAAAATTACTTGCATAGTAACCCCCTGAAGCATCCGTTACACTGTATATATTTTTATCATAAATAGATATTTGATGTCGATGGTATCTTACAACGTATCGCCATGGACGTAGCTACAACATTTGGTTGGGGTGGGCCTAGAACTGCAAGCCTATGGAGGCCTCTATAAAAAAGCTCTTGCAATCAGCGACTTCCTCATATCTGAACAAACACGTTTTCATTTCATTCTAATAGATCTTTTTTTCTAGAGTGTTTTCACGGGCTTTCTAGGGTGGGCCATGCATACCCCTGCCCCCTAGCTACGCGCATGCGTATCGCTGGACTTGTAATTAAAAATACTATCTGATGTATCTAAAATATACGAGCCCAGTCAAAAATTGTTATATCTCCGGTCAAACCGGATGCTGACCAAATATAGGTATACGGGATACGTCATAATAATGAAGTTTTTTTTATTGTATTTTTTTCCTAAAATGCTTCCCTGAGGAGATACATGGTGTTAATGTATCCTAAAAATATATACAGGGTGTCTGGTAAGTATATGGCATACTCTCGGGAGTGTATATAGGGGAGGTCAAAATAACCCTAGTTTGTCATAAAAAAATCCTAAAGTGCTCCTTAAAGTAGATACAGAGCCCCAAAAGGGTACCCAGTTATCTACCATTTCGGCTCTAACTTTTGAACCGAAGTGTATAATTTGATGAAATTTTAATATTTTATGTAGGCCATAAAGGCTCATAAAATCATGCTACACTAGATGTTTTACACTATCAGGGAAGTCAGGAACTGACTTGCTACCACACTCGTTGAGCCAAAATTTTGATAGGTATTATTTTATACAGCTGAAAACTGAATTTTTAAATACTTTTGCCATTCCTCTTTAAAAAAGGTACTCTACATTCGTTTCGATAAAATTAGCCGTTTTTGAAGAAACTAAGTTTTTGTATAACGTTTTTGTATCACGGTTAAACATTGACTTTCGAAATTTATTTAATTATCAATTTTATTAACATAAGCTGTTTAAACACAATAACTAAGAATAATTTCAAAACTTGTAGGTACATTATACCAAACACACTTTGTTTAATCAACATTGTGTAATCAACTAACGTAGACTTAATTTCTGACAAATGTCTACCCCACTGCCTTTAATGAGAATTTGATAGCGTTTTTACAGTGTCAAATGCTTAAAAGTTAAAAAAGTATTGTTGTTTTTTCTTGGCTATGCATCGGTTATTAATTAATTGATAATTGTTGATATTTTCTAAGGTGGTGTCGGATACCAGATTTTATCTAAGGAATAGACAACATGCATGAAAATTTAATCTTTTTTAGAACTGGTTGAATAGAATCTCTTGAAAAATTACACCATTCAGCGATCGCATTATCTCGAGCGTAGGCGTAACGGTTTGTCATTATTCAATGTAAACGAATCATTGATATTGGTGACGTCAAGACTTTGGGATTTCGTTACCAGGACCAATCGTGCATTGTTGGATTGCCTAAGTTCGGCGGTCACGCGTGGCTTTTAAACATTTATGAAGACTGTATCTTCAGAATAGCGTGGGCATCTCATGACTTGAGTTATAGAATAAATCGGCTTTAAACAACTAAAGTGCAATACGATTCTTTCCGAGTATCTATATCTTAATTGCAATTTTCCAAAATATTATTAGTTAAATTAATTAAATATATCACAATGACACCGAATAAGACTTATCCTAACAAATTTTGTGTTCATTTCTATACTATAAATAAAATTTCTTAACGTTTTAGAAGTTTTTCAGTAAATCTACTGTTTTAAAACACATAAAATGTTATCTCTGATGTACTTTCAAAGTTACATTGAGTTTGGGAACTTGAAATATAGAGAAGTAGAACATATAAGAGATGAGGAAGTTAGAAAGATACGGGAGGAAAATCCAGTTCGAGAACATCCTAACGTTCCGACCGAAAATAGCCAGTGTATTTGACGTTGACAAATCTCAATACCCTGAATTCGAAAAAAAGTAATCATCATCCGTATAAAGTAGGTATGTCTTGTCAATTACTCAACAGAGGACAGATTTTGATATGCGAACTGAGCTTTGTAAGTGTGCGATTAACAAACTATAAGATAAATTTAGAGTTTTTAGGGGATATCTATTAATTTATTTTTTTCTCGATTATTTTACGAAGCAGAGATGTGAACGCAGGCAACCGAAAGAGCACGTTTAAGAAGTGTTCGCCTACATCCTCTTTTTGAAGTAAATCCTAGAATTCCTCCTTAAATTCGTGGAAATCCTTAGTAGATCCTACTACATCCCAGTAATTTATCGTAGATCCCAATACCTACATCTGATATATTTTTACTTGCACTTAGCAACATCTGAGGTTTATACAGTTTGTCGCATAATTAGACTGCTAAACTTCATCACTACGTACAGGGTGATTCACTATATTTTGACCCCCCATTAACTTCTTTGTTCTAAGAGTTATGAAAAAATGTGAAATACAAAAGTTGCACGACTTTTTATGAATTTTTCAAAAATGATAGTAGAAAAACAAACAAAGTCCAAACAAAATGGCAGCGGATGTTAACTTTGTTAATTTAAATGGAACACCCTGTATATTTTTACATATTTGGATAGAACGTTCTCTGTCGAGTATAGTCATATAGGGATTGTTGGGTCCATCTCTAACAATAAGCGAGATAATATTAAAAAACGAAAAGAAGGTTTTTCATTAAGAAAATAAAACATCTTGTAATTGTTAGACCTCTTTCAGGCATCTATGCGTTTTTTCCAATTACGTAAGAATTTACAGGTTTTGTTATAATCTATTTTGACATATCGGACATTGATACGGTCCAAAATGCGTATAGGTATTTAACTAAATCTCACTAATTAGGCCGTGAAAGGCCTAATTACTCATGGACAATATTATATGGTAGGCTATGACAGTGACAAGAATGTCATGACAACATTGTTATTGTATGACAGTTTGTATTATTATTTAATTAATCCATTTTAAAATGGGTTACACAGAAGCTGAAAAGTTTGAAATATTTTCTGTTTATGTAAGAAATAATAAAAATAAAAAAGCTGCAAGAAGGGAATATATGGCATTATATCCGAATCGCCCAATACTAAGCCAAAACACATTTTTGTATATATATCGGCATGTGAGAGATAATAAAACCTTTAATAGAAGAAAACGTATCACTGGGGCTTCGAGAATGAATAACTTGATGTTCTAATTTATTTTGAAGGTATGTATGCTTTATATTTTTTTTCCACGGTCGGGAGTAGAAATCAGTTTCTATGACATCAAAATTAAAACAGAAGTAGTCGATTATTCCCAAGGGAGTATAATGCTCCCAAGGGAGTATAATGCTCCCAAGGGAGTTTACATTATGGAGAACGTTTTTCATGCAAAAAAAAAGATAACATTGAAATTATTTATTGACATTTAAATTAAATGTTACATATGTACAATTTTCAAAATTAATATTAGAAGGAATATTACTTTCGCTTGCATTTACAGTTTTTGTGATTGCGCTAGTAGTGGTACCTACTAAAACCTAATTAGCAATTTTGGTCTTATTTTCAATGGAGTTCTCGACATAACCCTCAGCGACTGTCGTTGATTTCCAACCAGCATGACGCTTTATTGTCGTGATATCCACACCAGCATCTGCCAGTAATGTCGCTGAAGATCTTCGTAAGCAGTGACCAGTATAACATGCAGCATCAGGTAATTTTAAATACGAAGCTACTACACTCGGAATTTTTCCCATG